TTTCGTTTATGATTGGGTCAATTTGGTTATTCTCTCTCTGCCTTTTGGTTAATTTGAATAAACGTTTGTCTATTTTGTTGATAACAAACTCTTTGTCTTATTGAGTCTTTATATTTTTGTTTGTTTCTATTTTGTTGATTTCAACTCTCAATTTGAGCATTTCCTGCTATCTTGTCCTCCTGGGTGAGCTTGCTTCTTTTTTTTCTCAAATTTTCATGTATTCTATTAACTCATTAGTGTGAGATCTTTTCCCATCTTCTTTATGTATGCATTTAGTGCTATGAACCTTCCTCTTAACACTGCTTTCATTGTGTCCCATATATTTGGGTGTGTTCATAGTCATTTTCATTGAATTTTAGGAAGTCTTTAATTTCTTCCTTTATTCCTTCCTTGACCCATTGGTGATTCAGGTGATCATTGTTTAATTTTCATGTGCTTGTGGGTTTTCTGAAATAGTGTTGCTGTTGAATTCTAATTTTAAATCACAGTGATCTGATAAGATACATGGGTTTATTCTATCTTTTTGTATCTGTTTAGGTTTGTATTGTTATCTAGTATGTGGTCAGTTTTTGAGAAGGTTCCGTGAGGTGCTGAGAAGAAGGTATATTTTTTTATGTTCTGATGGAATGTTCTATAGATGTCTGTTAAGTCCATTTGAGTCATAACATCTGTTAGTGCCCTTATTCCTCTGTTAAGTTCCTGTCTGACAGACCCATCCAGTGTTGAGCATGGGATATGGAGGTCTCCCACTATTAATGTATGGGGTATAACGTGTGATTCAAACACAATAGTGTTTCTTTTACACATGAGGGTGCACTTGTATTTGGGGCATAGATGTTCAGTACTGAGATTTCCTCTTGGTGGAATTTTCCTGTGACTAATATGAAATGTCCTCCTTTGTTTCTTTGGATTGATTTTAGCTTGAAGTCTTTTTTTTTTTTTAAATTAGGATAGCTACCCCAGCTTGTTTCTTAGGTCCATTTGATTGGAAAATTTCTTCCCAACCCTTTCCTATGAGGTGATGACTGTCTTTGAGGTTGAGGTGTGCTTCTTGTATGCAGCAGAAGGATGGATTCTGTTTTTGTATTCACATTGTTAGCCTATGTCTTTTTATTGGTGGGTTGAATCCATTTATATAAAGAAATATTAATGACTAGTGATTCTAGTTCCTGTTATTTTAGTTTTTGTTGTTGGTGATGTTATTGTGTGTGTTTTTCCTTTCTTTGAGATTTGCTGCTGTGAAATCACCAGTTGTATGTGTTTTTGTGGATGGAGCTAACTTCCTTGGGTTGGAGTTTTCTTTCTAGTACTTTGTATAGGACTGGGTTTATGACTAGGTATTGGTTAAATCCAATTCTGTCATTGAATATCTTGTTTTGTTCATCTATGATGATTGAAAGTTTTGCTGGGCATAGTAGTTTAGGCTGGCACCAGTAGTCTCTTTTAATGTCTATATAACACTTGTCCAGGACCTTCTGGCTTTCATTGTTTCCATTGAGAAGTCAGGTGTAATTCTGATAGCTTTGCTTTTATATGTTACTTGGCTCTTTTTCTTTGCAGTTCTTAATTTTCTTTATTCTGTACGTTTGGTGTTTTGAGTTATATTCTGCTGTTTATGCCTGCATTTTGGTTCCTGATCATTTTCCCATATTTTCCATTTCCAGATTCCCTCAGTTTAAGTTTTCTTTATTGTCTCTAGCCTCTGTTTCAGTTTTCAAGTCTTGAATCATTTCTCTCATATGTTTGATTGCTTTTTCTTGTTTTTTTTTAAGGATTTTTTTGTTTGTCTTTTCCTCCATTTCTTTGAGAGAATTTTTCATTTCCTCTTTAAGGGCCTCAAACATTCCCTAAAGTTATTTTTTAGGTCATTTTTTTCTGCTTCATCTGTATTGGGGTGCTCAAGTATTGCTGTTTTAGAGCCCCTAGTTTTTGTTGATGTCATGTTGGGTGTGTTCTTACCTTGTCTACCCATATTTCCTCTGATTGGTGTACTTGGGGCTGTGTCTCTGGTGATCACTCTTCCAGGTGCCAGTGAATCCAAGGCTCAGATGGTTGCTCCTTGTTGTGGAAGCAGGGCCACGGTTCCAGTCACTGGGAAGTCCTTTTGTATATGTGTTGCTTTTATTGGTTAATAAAAAAGCTGCTTTCAGCCAATGACATAACAGAATATAACCAGGCTGGAAGAGATATATATAGAAAGAGGAGGTGGAGTCAGGGAGAAGCCATGTAGCCACCAGCTGGAACCTTGCCGAGGAGCCTCTTGGTAAAATATAAAATAATAGAAATGGGTTAATTTAAGATGTAAGATCTGGCCAATAAGAAGCTAGAGCTAATAGGCTAAGCAGAGATTTAATTAATATAGTTTCTGTGTGGTTATTTTGGTTCTGGGCAGCCAGGAACAAACAAGCAGCCTCTCCCAACAAGTCACCCCAGAGGTCACTGACTTGAACCTGCTCCCATGTGGGTGGTTGGCTTGTGCCTGCTAAGGCAGAGGTTGCTGGCTTGGGCTAACTAGACGTATTTTTAAAATTCCTTTCCAGGCTCTCTTTCTTCCCATTGAGGCAAGCAGTCTTGGCTTCTTTTCTTCTCTCTCTCTCTCTTCTCTGTCTGTCTGTCTGTCTGTCTGTCTCTCCCTTCCTCCCCTCTACACTCCCTTTTTAATAAAACTTCACATCCCCCCCAAAAAAATCCTTTCCAGAATTTGACTTACCTACCCTGCAGAATAGGAAACTGTTCTTTTAAAAGGACGTTTCTTTATGCTGATTTAATATTCACTGAGTTTTGGTGATTTATACCACTTAATACACATGATAAGTGGTAATCAGTACTTGCAGGATCCGGCTGGCTCATCAATATGTGTTTTATTTTAGTTTTTGTTCCAACATCTAAATTATATGTTTCCTAGTGCAGTTGAAATCATTTGTTATTGGACCATTTTTAAAACCAATGGTGACATATTGAAAGGAAGATTATGTGGGCATGAAATAATGATTATAATTAAGGGACAGAGAAAATAATATGCTCACCGAAAACAGAATAAACAATGGAGAAAAGTAGGCAGATCATGAGACAACTGCACTAAGTCATATACATTTAATCATGGGATCTGCTTCATGTCATGGCAAGGTATTTTTGTTGGGAGAGGGAGTGGAGGAAGGGGTGCTGTGGTTATGAAGCGCTTCTGGCTGCCAGTGCCGCCTGCTTCAACAGTTGCCCCGTGGAAGCCAGAACATTCTGTCTAATTCACAAGCAGGTAACTCTTCACGACTTGCGCCTCTTAACTTGTTTTGATGAGACGTTCAAGGTCTCTTTCGATGTTTTGCTTCTTTCTCTTTTCAAAATGCTTTTGCTGTAGCTTATACTGGGTTGAGAGACAAACCATGTTCAAGGATTGGGGAAAGAGGCCCAGAGATCACAAATGGGTGTTGGCTTTTAAGGATTGGTGGTGGCGGGTTGGGGGGGGGCATATAAACCATGTGATGAAGGCCACCACTCAGGGATAATGTGGGACAAAGAGCATGGGAGGTGGTATCAGAGGGACTTCCCGGCTTCATTCCTTGCCTTAACAGTAGGAGGTACCTTTTAGGTTTTCTGAAGAGGATAGCATGTCGTTCCAGCAATGGACCCAGTGTGTGTGTGTGTGTGTGTGTGTGTGTGTGTGTGTGTGTCTCAGAAAATGCCCATGTTTTAGGATGACAGCTTCACTAGGTGGAGTTGGGGAGGAAACAACCCCAAGACCAAAGATGGTAGTCTTTCTCCAAGCTGGACTGCAGAAGAAGTTGCCAGCCAGGCCTCCTTGTGTCCTCAGCTTACTGGGTGATTGAAAGCTCAGCTACCAGGATGTCGCCAGGGAGCAGCACTGTAGTACTGATGATCGTTTCTCCCCCCAAGAGCGTTTTCTGATCACATCTGTAGAACATTCTGGGGGAGGGGTTGTTTTACATCATTTTATCATTCGAGCCCAGCTTTGGGTCATCTAGAGCCAGTGTTTCCGTTTTGCCCTCTGTTCTTCATAAGCTCAGAGCAGAGGGGATTTTCAATTATTTTGTGAATATCTTTAAGGATCTTACCCACCTAATGGGATTTTCAATTATCTTGTGAATTTCTTTAAGGATCTTACCCACCCAATGGGATTTTTTTATTGAAAAGCTCATCACTAATAGTTAACAGGCAAATTTATTTACATTAACTTCATTTTTTTACCTTAAGTAATTATCATTCCCCAGTGTGCCGGACAAGCATGTGGCCTTGAGGGTGACAGACCTGTGGTCACGCACATACCTAAGGATAGCTCAGTGGATCTTGGCTCACTCCAAAGTCTGCTCACAGCGTGTTCTGGGGCTTCCTCCCCAAAGGCATGGCCATGGTGCACATTCTTTGTTTTTGCCAGAAATCGCGAGGGATAAACTCCAGCGAACATACGGTGAAGATCTGCCCTTGAGAAATAAGACCAGAGGGTTTGGCAGAGCTGGATTTAATCCTCACTGTCTTCACTTTAGATTAGTGTGACATCTTATATGGGTAAAAAAGAATGTTTTGGGGGTTTTCTTTTTTTAGATTTTGGAAAAAGTTTTCTGTGTGATATTTCATGTAGTTGAAACGGTAACACATTCCCTGCCTTCGAGCCAACAGAAGAGGAAGGAGCTTGCCACGGATGGGTGCATTCAGTTAGTGTTAAGATTCTGGAAGTTAAAAGCAGACAGAGTAAAGATATATTTTCCTCAAGAGCAGTTCGCTGCTCTCCTTTCAAATGACAAAAATTCTAATAATAACACCATGCTTATTAATAATAAATATAATTTATTTTGTTTTACAAAGAATAATGAATTAATTGGCTGGAATGGTTTTACCTTTTTGTACAGTCATTAATATATATCTCCTAAATTAAAAAAAAAAGCTTTGTCTTGTTATTCAGAAGTACTGGATCACATTTTAATATGCGATGCCATACATTCTAGGGTTCAACCTGATTCAGTTTCTGGGTTTTTTTCCCCTTCCAGTGTCTGTATTTATGCTAAAAGTTCAGGTGAATGACATCATCAGTCGCCAGCGCCTGAGTCAAGCCGTTGTGGAGGTGTTTGTTAACTACACGAAGACGAATTCTACCGTGACTAGAAGCAATGGAGCAGTATTGATAAAAGTACCGTACCAACTGGGACTCAGCTTAACCATCGTTGCTTACAAAGATGGCTACGTCTTGACGCCTCTGCCTTGGAAAACCGGAAGGATGCCAAGTTAGTACTTCCGTGGTATTTTGCATTCACAAACATAAAAATCTGTTGAGCTGCAAGTGAGAACACTTACAAGAATCCCATATGTTTAGAAGGAAAGAGAAACTCGTGGAAAACACTCTTTGTCTGTTTGGGATGCCAAAACAAAATACAAACTAGGCAACTGTGAAGAACAGAGATATTTAACACAATTCTGGGGATGAGGAAGACCAAGGTGGAAAGGGCAGTGGGTTTCATGTCTGGTGCACTTGCTCTCTGATTTATACAGCTACGTTCCCTTTTATAGCTGTCACCTTCTCACCGTGTCCTCACATGGAGGAAAGAGTCTTTGGTGCTATTTTTTAAGGCAATCTCATTCCATTGACGAAGTCCTCCCCACCCCCTTAACACCACAGCTTACTTTGGCTGTGAAATTTAGGTTGACAAAAAACCCTGGGATCATGGCAATCATGAAGGCACTTTATCTTCCACTGTGGCTTGTGCATTGCCCAGTTGTGGATGCCTGTGGTGATTCTCCTTTCCTGCAAAGAAACTTCTCTGATGAGGGCTGAGTGAGGTACCGTTCTAGGGGTGTAGCAATATATCATTAGCAGGCAATCTATTGCTGTGCTCCGTTAGCAGAATAATCATAGTAAGCTGACCTTAGGGCCTGTGACCTATTTAGTATCATGCTCTTGGACACTTCAGCAATGTCAGATATGGGTTCCACCTCAGGGAATGAGTCTTAAGTTCAATAAAGTGGTTGACTGGTCCCATAATATTTGTGCTACTATTATACCTGTACATCTTCCAGACGAGTCGCTGTTGTAGGTCTCAGGGTGTGTAGTAGGTTTCCATATGGGTTTAGAAAGGCCTTTAGTGTTACTGCTCCTCCCCATATTCGCCCCTCTCCTCTGCTCTCCCTCTTCTCCCCATTTAATCTTCCTATTTGAGTTTACCCTTTGTTTCTTTATAATTTCATCCTATTGCCCTTTCCTTTGAAGGTCCTGTCCTCTGCCCTGGACCCTTGCTATGTATCTTAGCCCCTGTGAATATTTTAATTGAAACACACACACACACACACACACACACACACACATCTAAAGCTTTAAAACTAACATCTATATGTACGGGAAAACATACAATATTTGTCTTCTTGGTTGCTGGTTACCTCACTTGGGATGATTGTTTCTAGCTCCCTCCGTCAATTTACCTGCAAGTTTCATTTTCTTTAGCAGCTGAATAATATCCCATGTATAAATGTACCCCTTTTCATTATCTATTCACCAGTTGGTGGACATCGAAGCTGTTTCCAATTTCTGACTATTACGAATAGAGCCGCAGTGAGCATGGCTCAGCAGTGTCTGTATAGTTGGATGCAGAAGCCCCTGAGGCACGCTGTGCCAGAACGATGCCTGCCTCGGTTACCCCTATGTTAAACATTGTGATCATATTGTCTCTTTTACAGTCTATTCTTCAGTTACGCTTTCACTGTTCCCACAAAGTCAAGCAAACATATGGCTCTTTGAAGACACTGTTTTGATTACCGGAAAATTAGCTGGTAAGTATGCCACTCTTGCTAAGGAAGTTCTTAGAGTGATAATTTTATTAGAGAATCATGGTTGATTATAACTTGGGTCCTGATGGTACATTGATCAGAACCAGTTCATATCTTATTATAAAATTATGATTTGGGGGCATTGAAAATAGGTATCTCCAGTATCCACTGCACACAGGACTATGTGCTGTGAGGAATTACTAGAAAATGCTGTCTGTGTTCACTGTCTCATGTCTGTCTTTTATGGGAGCTGAAACAGTGACAAGGACAGCCATGTTTCCCAGACCTCTGCGCTCCCTAACTTCCTTTCCTCCTGTGCCTCCAATGTTAATCTGGCTGCTAGGGAGGGAGAGGCCAGTGACTAGGGAGTTCCCATCTCCTAGGCAGCCTTTTCTGGGGTACTTGGTACTTGCGTGTCCCCTAAAAACAGTGCAAAAAGCCTTGTTTGGGGGTGTTGGATGAGGGAGTTGTCCTCCCTCCTTTGCCAACTATGAAGATGACAGTGTGACCCTTTCTTTACCTCCATGTGCCCCCTAGTTGTTGCTTAGAGGAAAACTAGATGTTTTGCTTCTCATTTGATATCCAGTGCCTTTACAAACTACAGCTATTTGTTGGATTTGTATTGGTCGTTTGATGTTCAGCACTAATATAATGGAAATGACTGAAAAGGCAGAAAATCCTCATGAATCAATCAAGAGAGGCATGACCTAATGAACTGCTTGTGAAAATTCACATTTAGGAGAGAGTCTATGCTGTTCTAAGGTATTAAATAAAGGCACTTAATAGGACTGAAGTGAGAACCTGAACTTGGGCTTGATTAATCTTGGAGTGACTTATTTTTAAGGCTTTGGACCCTCTTTCCCTAGATCTTTGAGCATTTTGGTACTCACTGCTAGCATGTGACGGAATATGATGTGGAGTTTTGTTTGGAGATTAGAACGTGAAAAGGAGCCGTGTAGCAGCAGAGGGTCCTGGTTTCATGCTGCTGGGGCTTTAAGAAAAATAGTTATAGATGTATCTGATGTTGTCATGTCTCTCCATAAAGTACCTACTTCTTTTCTTAATGCTCATAAAATACTTTGTCAAGAAGACACTTAGTTTATATAATAGAAGTGTGCTCAGTATATGTGAATGTATTTGTGGGCAGGGGAATAGAAAAAAAAATGAAAGCCCTTCTTAGGAAATGCAGGTAATTTACGTAGGATGCATATTTTTAGTTACAAGAAATTTGTATATTCAGCATTATTAAGCCACATGTTTTTAAAATTTCGTTTTTTTAGGTTAACATACAAAAGTAGTGTATTTCATCATGATATATGATGTGGGATTTCTCTCTGTATTCTGTGAATATCATTGGTTAGTAAAGGAACTGCTTTGAGCCTATAGCAGAGCTATAGGGGAACAGAGCTAGATGGAAAACTAAGCTGAATGCTGGGAGAGAGAAGGGCAGAGTCAGGGAGAAGCCATGTAGCCCCACTGGAGACAGACGCTGGGGAACTTTAGCGGGTAAGCCACAGCCACATGGCAAAACACAGATTAATGAAGATGGGTTAAATTAAGATGTAGGAGTTAGCCAGTAAGAAGCTAGAGCTAATGGGCCAAGCAGTGATTTAAATAATATAGTTTCTGTGTGATTGTTTTGGGGTTAAGTGGCCAGGAACTAACTAGCAGCCTCCTCCTACAGAGATCTTCTTATATAAAGGTCACATATTTCAAAAGGGAATGCATTAGATAGTATTTTGAGTGATCTGAAAATATCAGTGTTTCCTCAAACATCTAACCAAATAATAGTGAAGATGGAATTGTGCTGTTTTACTCCAGTGTTTTGTGTGTGTTATTTTTCTCCCTTTATGAAAAAATCCTAGAAACTGATTTTAAGAAAGAGTTATCTGACATTATTCTTTTATCATCACGCAAATCTTTAAAATTTGATACATTTTTTCATACTAATAACTTAAATGACTTCTTTTGCCTTTATTGGTGTTCTTGTTAAAGTCCAAGACCAAAGATAATGTATCTGATAACTTACAATTTTAATTTTGAAATTGATCTGTGGCTTGTTGAATTGTGTTGGTTATAGAAATATCAATATGTCACCGAGGTCTCAATAGATAAACATCAGAAGAGAGTCAATTCAGCACCACTGAAATGAGGTAATATGTATACGCCTGGAATCTGGCATTTGGAAGACTTTAAAATGACTGTGTGCCAATCTGATGGAGAAACCAACCCGTTTCAGTGTGTGGCTGAAAGTCCTGAAGGGCAGTTATTATTGAAAGTTGCTGAAAACCTCTCTTAAACTAGTATGACCCCATAGGAAACATTTATTTACTTTTTACTAAGCAGGGTCAACTTCAGCGGAGACTTAATCCAAAGGACTCAAGTTGGAATAATTGAAAAATACTTTTCCTTCTCGCCGTTTCTCAGTTCTACCCTGTGAGCACTGCCTCCACTTTCAAACAAGCTCTCATCTTAGGCTACAAGATGGGATCCTGTGAGAGACAAAACAAGCCTTCCATTCTGTATCCAGGCAAGCACACACTTCGTTAGTTGTGCTTGGGGGCACGAGGCTTGCTTGTCTTGGCCTGTTCTGACACACAGTCAGCCCTTTCCTATTATAGAACCATGCAGGCTGAGGAGGGTCAGCATATGGCTTCCTACAGTGAGACCGGAAAGATCCGAGAAGAAATTCTGGGCAGAGTCAATCAGGTCTAGTCTGGAGGTGCTTTGTGATCTAAAAGAAACAGATGTAACGTGAACGTTGCATGTTGCCTTTGTATGTTCCAACGTTATTTATACCACATTGACATCTTTTCCCCAGCTTCTGCTTTATACTCAGGTTTCTTATGTGTGTCCATGTAAGCCTCCGTGGCTCATTTGTGGGTCACAGATTAATACTCTTGTGGGCTAAAAGTGCTCATTACCTAAATATATAAAAGGAGCTTTCTTAGTTCTGAATTGAATTGAATTGTGTGAATGTTGGTGACGCTCAGAAATCATTACAACCACATCCTGTAGGAGAAAATATCTGACCGGTGATGCTGTTTTTAACATGCATGTGTTTTTGTCCACTTGCTAATGGGATTTCCTTTGTCCAGATGCCAAATCTCAACCAAGTGTTCAGTTCTCAAAAGCCTTCATCAAACTTCCTGAAAACCATCACATCAGCAACGTGACTGGCTATCTGACGGCTCTACAACAGTTTTTAATGGCGGACAATTTTCTGTACACGACGGGAATCACTCTTAACAAACCAGGTATTTTTTTTATTTCTAAATATGTGATCATATTTCTAAAACACATCAGCACAAAAATTTTCCATCAGATACTAGTTATGTACATAATATTATCCATTTGATTTTCATCAAAGCTTTTCAGAATATGTGTTGCTTTCAAAATATATAGTATTAAATTTTCTATAAGCAATTTCTTTTTATCCAAAATGGAATAATTAAGTGGGGTGTGGTGGCCCACAGGTTTAATCCCAGCCTGTGGGAGGCAGAGGCAGGCAGATTTCTGTGAGCTGGAAGTCAGTCTGGTCTATAAACGAGTTCTAGGGCAGCCAGGACTGTTACACAGAGAAACTCTGTTTCTAAAAAGAAACAAAACAAAACAGAATAATTATACCAAAGTCTTTGACATATGTTAAGTTAATCAAAATGTCCTTTTATTTTGATTCATTAAATTTCACTTAAACCAAAACAAGTAAGCAAAATGCATTAAAAATATGATTGTTATAAAACTTTGCACAGTGATATATTTAGAAACTTTGACTTAAATTCCTGCCCCAGTTTGACTTTCTGTGCAGTCACTTAGCAAACTGGTGAGAAGTGTCAGTTAACCGGCCAGGGGGCATATGCTATTTAGCTGACCTCAGAGTGATGTTTACCAAGTCGACAGAGTTAAGTAAACTATTATGGTAGTTTCTACTTGATCTATCTTAGCTAAGAAAAAAAAAGACCACAGTCCACAGCTTTGATGTTAGACCCTCCTGATTTAATAGTTAAGGGAGGAAGTAACACAACCACATCTGTCACACCTTTCTCCGATCCTTTGTAAATCTAGCGGAAACCCCACTGTTAAAATTACCTCAGGCAATTTATACTTCTGAGTGTTTTAGTTGCATCAAATTTTTGGTTCATTTGGGTACATCTAGGAACGAGAGTAAAATGAGTATATTATATAAATAATATATTATAACTTATGACTAAAACTGATTTTACCAGTTTTGCAGCCAAATGAGCCCACTCTTGTGTTACAAGCCTGTACCCTGTTACATATATCGGTCACCGCCTGGTCTAGCAAGCACGTTTTGTCCTTACATAGTGCATACAAGGGTTAACACATTAATACCCTGGTTTCCTGGCTTCGACTGGTGGGCTTGTCTGGAGTTGTCTCACCGAATCCCCTTCATTGCCACGTCCCGCGTTGGCATCTTTCCTTGTGTGTTAAGCTTCCACTCCATCAGCGGTTGTTTCCGCGGATTACTTCCCGGGTCAGTTTCTGCTCAAATTATCCCAAAGCCTGCTTCTTGAGGAAGCTGGTCTAAGAATCAACGAGGTTTTTCTAGATGTAAGTTAGAGGATGTGCAAAACAAAGGAGTTTGCACAAATGCTACCCCACAGGCTGTCACAGGCAAGCGCATGCGGAGCTGGTGGGCGTTCAGAACAAAACTCGCGGGACTCGAGCAACGTAGCAATGAGCTTTCCTCTCGAAATCCTGCTTTCGCAGTGTGGAGTCTTCTAAGGGGACTTCTCTGCTGTGTCCAACCTGGTGCCACTATGTGTTTACTGACTCTGACATGTCATCAGTGCACCAAAAGCCTAGATTTTATATAAAAGCACCATGCCTCTGACAGCCCCTCTGTTGGGTTACACAGTTCTAGAGCCCTGCAGTCTACAGGTGTTTTGTTTTGTAAAAGTGAAAGTTAAGATTAGCGCTCAGGGCATAGAGTGTTCACTGGAGGCAGCGTGCCTGTGGAGGCCAGAAGACACCATTCGGGAGCTGGTGCTCTCCTTCCAACTTCCCCTGAGTTGCAGAACTCAAACTCAGATTATCAGGTTTGTACGGCAAGTACCTTTACCCACTGAGCCATCTCACTGGCTTGGGATTACATCTTCAAAAACATTTGGTTGAATTCCAGTGTCCTTAAATCAGACAACGCTGAGAGAATTAGATTAACAGAAACTTATACTAATTTGTCAATGTTACATTATTAGCCAGTACTTATTTATTAAATATTTTAAAATTACACTTAAAAAATTACATTTTAAAAAATCTTTAATGTACAGCCAATAGAATATATATTCAAATGAGTAGCAAATGATGAAATAATAGAGTAAAATGAATTTTAGTTAGAGCCATAACAATCTACTATGTATATGCAACCTCTGTTTGAGTATAGTCTTAATAAATTATACTCTCTTTTAGGTCTGGAAAACATTGAGCTGACTCCTCTTGCTGCGATATGTGTGAAGATATATTCTGGAGGGAAAGAGTTGAAGGTGGATGGTGCTATTCATGTGTCTCTTCCTCTTGTACATACAAACACTGTAAGCATGGGAGATCGCATACCCGCGTGGACATTTGATATGAACACAGGTATGGTAGCTAAGAGAAAACAGACCGTTTTCCTTTTGGATATTTGGATATTTTATCGTAGAGTTGTATACACAGCTGGTCTGTCCCTAACATTTGCCATTGTGTACACTTTGTTAAGGGCCACATGGGCCTCACTGGTACGGGTGTTTGTGAGGGCGAAGGGGGCTAATTCCTTGTCTTAGTTGCTTTTCCAGTAGCTATAAAAAATACCCCAACAAAGACAACTTAAGAGAGGGTTTATTTTAACTGCTAACCATGATGGTTATAGTCCATTGTGGTGGGGAAGCTGCAGGCGGGGAGGTGGGGAGACAGCTGGTCACGAGTCACGCGGCATCCACAGTCAAGAAGCAGACGTCATCTGGATCGTAGACTCACAGTGGGTGTGACATAACCATACATTTGCCTCATGTTATTATGTGTATTATATTAAGTATGATGTGATATTTAATATTGATCATGATAGATCAATGGTGTTTATAATTTCTGAAATGTTCTGAATTCTTTCATGACTACCAGCAAACTCTGTTTTTATACCTTAGCTTAAGGTTTAGAACTATCCCTGACTGTTGTTTTTCCACTTACCGCATGTTTTAGGTGCTTGGGTGCATCATGGCTGGGGAATAGTCAAGGAGCATAACAGCCACCTGATTTGGACCTATGATGCACCACATTTGGGGTACTGGATAGCAGCCCCATTCCCAGGAGCTAGAGGTACTGCAAAAATGGAACAAAGTAATTTTAAAGGTTAACACACACAGCATGCTGGAGTTGGTGTCAGCTGGGTTCCAGCTTGGACTGAGCATTGCCATGAAGTAGGTGAACGAAACCGAACAATCTTCCTCCCCTTTTCTTGTACACAACCAAAGGATTAAGCAAGCTCCATGTACTCTAAATCTCTTCTTACCACATCTAATGAATCTCTGAAGACTAAAGTTTGTTTCAGTATTATCTAAATTTATGTTTTCATAAATAATTTCTACCCAGCACAGTTAGAGCCTCTGGCTACAAGAAACAGGGACATCTTGATTAATTTTTTGAAAGGTGAAGAATATGTGCATAGCTTACAGGATCCTGGGGAAGACAGACATCTCTGCAGCTCCAGAGGGCTGACCAGAGCCTACTTGTGTGTAGCTTACAGGATCCTGGGGAAGGCAGCCATCTCTGCAGCTCCAGAGGGCTGACCAGAGCCTGCTTGTGTGTAGCTTACAGGATCCTGGGGAAGGCAGCCGTCTCTGCAGCTCCAGAGGGCTGACCAGAGCCTGCTTGTGTGTAGCTTACAGGATCCTGGGGAAGGCAGCCGTCTCTGCAGCTCCAGAGGGCTGACCAGAGGGCTTCACACAGTAGCTGCCACCGACTCTAGTCCTTTCCAGTCTTTCCTCACACCCTGCCTGATCTTCCTTCAGAGGAAGACTCTGGGAGACATGAGAGCAAAGGCTGTTGGATAGCAGTGTCTCCACATTGTTTCAAAAGAATAGATAGATGATGTACAAAATGGTTATCGACTTGACAGTTTGAGCAGATGGTGGCTGTAAGCTGGTGGCCACACATCAAGAATTCTTCACTAGGGATGATCCATGCTGTTCTCACACAAAGTATTTAACATGGTATCAAATTATGTGGGGAATCTGAATCTAAGGAAACCGCACATTTATCACATCCAGTAAATTTATCAAAAAATTTTAAAAAGTTATATATTCAATCTATTAAGTCTTTCTGAATAGAATTGGGTGTAGTGATGCACACTTTAAATCCCAGCACTTGGCAGGCAGAGATAGACAGATCTCTGAGTTTGAGGCCAGTATGGTTTACAGAGCAAGTTCTAGGACAGCCAGGGCTATGTAGTGAGACCTTGTCTTGATAAATCTGAAAAAAAAAGAAAAGAAAACCAGATACCAACCAAACAACAACAACAAAAATCCCTAACAAAACAAAAACCAAAAACAACCTACAAAACCTTTCTGAATACAGAAACGTCTTTCACTTGCTGGAGGCTGGATGGGAGCCTGTCAGCCACTCTAATTCAAATTAATTAAGAACCCCACAGTTCTATATTTTGCTACCACATGATTGGAGTTCCCATTATTCAAACAATTTCCTTCTAAGTTCACTTCAAGGCATGAAAACTAGGACTGCATATTTTAGGGTTTGTTTTCTCAGTGTCTTGGCAGCCAGTAACCGGTTCTGTGAGAGCAAACTTTCGTGCAGCCGTCGGCCATTTTAGTCACTGTGTGAATTCTTTGTCTTTTAAGTATGTGAGTGTTTGGGGTTGGCTGCCCTGCTCTTGGACTTGGCATGGTTCAACTCATCACATTTTCTTTCAGAACTCAGGTTGAAGGCATGGGGACATTCTGGGATATGCTCTTCCCATGTCAGAATGCCTCAGGAAGATGGCTAAGCCACATCACATGTATTGGTGCCACATTAAAGAAGGGCCCTTCCTCTTCGAGCAGTTTAAACTGAGAGTGATCCCAAGTCTGGGTTCTGCATCTCTCCCCCGATATCTTCTGTCTGCTTCTAACAGAGCTTTGTTCTATATTTATTGGATAGCACAGAAGTGGGTGAGGAATCTCTTATCCCCCCCCATATTTTTTTAACCAGCATTTACAAGGAAAAAAAATTTACTGATTCCCCAAGTAGCACTCAAAACTGCATATAGGTGCTACCAACCCAAATCCACCTGTTGATTCCAGCAGTCATGGAGAATGCTTGTTTTCTTTAGGGTTGTTTTCGATGTAGTGATTAACTTTCCAAAAAAGGCGGTCACAATGCATATAGATTATTCTGGGTCGGGGACATGGAAAAGTCACAAAGGAGAAACAGGGGAAATGATCTGAGATCAAAGCTATGTGTTCAGTTTATTTTGTACAAGTGAATCACATGAGAATGCCAAGGCGTAGTGAGGTTGGTTACATTGTTTCCTTAAAGGTAGGTTAAATCTAATAGGCTGAATACACAGCAACCTTTTGAATACATAATTTCAAATGATCTGAATGCATGTTATTGACTAGGATGCACTATTAGGCAAAAGGTTCAGTTTCTAAAGCCAAGTGGTCTTTAGGGAAAAAAAGAAAAGAAAAAAAAAAAGCTGTTCCCATAGTCTTGCAACCTCATTTCAAGTGTTCAAAATTCATTGGTCAAGGCAAGTCAGTTGATGAATCCTACAGGGCATGAAAGGTATACCTCACCCACAGAAGTCTACAACAGGACGAAAGCAAACCAATAGAAGCAGGTACACATCTTCAGTCTACCTCATCCAGGATAAAACAAAACTAAAAGTCTAACCTACAATGACACGTTTTTGTCTTTATATTGAATCATGCAGGTTCAGGGATAAATGAAGACTCCAAAGACATAACTGCCTACCACACAGTGTTCCTTACAGCCATATTAGGGGGAACAATCATTATCATCATTGGATTTTTTGCTGTACTACTCTGTTATTGCAGGTAAGAACATCACAGATCTATGTGTATAGACAGAGTTGCCATATTATAGCAAAATTTCAGTATATTGTGTGCATTATAAAGTTCATTTATAGAAGTTGTTACTAGGGTCTGGGTGGCTGGCTTAGCAATTAAAAACACTTGCTCTGACTGAAAGGTCCATACCAGGTCCTCTGTGTATGTGTTATGGCTGTTAGCTTGGTGTCTTTGTGGAACTCCTCACAGTGAAAACAGGTGTGTCTGTTTCTTTTGCCTGCTCTTGGGATTCTTTTCCTCTGGTTGGGTTGTCTTGCCCAGCCTCTCTATGACGGCTTTTCCTTGTCTTACTCTTTCTTGTTTTGTTGTGCTTGGTTGTTGTCTCTTGGAGGCCTACTGTTTTATGAAGGGAAAGAGAGAGAGAATAGATTTGGGAGAGGGGAAGTGGGAGAAGCTTGGAGAAGTGGACGGAGAAGAAACTGTTGTTGGGGGTGTACTATATGCAAGAAGAATCTATTTTCAAGAAATAAAACAAAGCAAGCAAGCAAACAAGGAAACAAAACCTCGCTCTTCCAAAGGACCTGAGTTCTGTGTTACAGCTCTAGGGACTCAGACATCTTTAAATATGTATTTGCATGTTTTGGTATACTTTCCTTTGGTGAGTCATATAGACTGTAACTTTTAGGTATCTTTTACCTTTTGCTTTTTCTACTCTAGGGGTAAGTGTGGAACACCACAAAAGAGAGAAAGAAATATCACTAAGCTTGAGATCCTCAAGAGAGACCAGACCACGTCAACAACACACATCAATCATATCAGTTCAGTCAAGGTTGCGTTGAAAGCAGAGGACAAGACACAGTTATTCAATGCCCAAACCTCATCCTACAGCCCCCAGAAAAAGGAAACTGCAAAGATGGAAACAGAAGAAAGAATTTCCATGGTGAAAACTCGGGACAATTTTAAGATCTACAATGAAGATGTTTCCTTTCTGTCAGTCAATCACAGTAATTACTCAAGAAACCCAACACAATCTTTGGAGCCAAGTATAGGAAGCAAACCTTCGAAGCATATCAACAACAGTCTCTCTCCACCGCTAGGGGACGCTCACGACGAAAAGAGGTATCTCACCGGAAGTGAGGAGGTATATGGGCGGTCCCACATTCCCGAGCAGCTTATGCACATCTACAGCCAGCCCATTGCCATCCTTCAGACGTCAGACCTTTTCTCCACACCAGAACAGCTGCATGCTGCTAAGTCTGCCACTTTGCCACGAAAGGGCCAGATAGTCTATGGCCAGTTGATGGAACCAGTAAACAGAGAGAACTTTACACAAACGTTGCCCAAAATGCCAATGCATTCTCACGGCCAGGCCCCAGATGCGAGAGAAGAGGACATTGTACTTGAAGGTCAGCAGAGCTTGCCGTCCCAGACTTCAGATTGGAGCCGATACTCCAACAGCTTGCTGGAGTCTGTGTCTGTTCCTGGAACTCTAAACGAAGCTGTCGTAATGACTCCTTTCTCATCCGAACTTCAAGGAATTTCAGAGCAGACCCTCCTGGAGCTGTCCAAAGGCAAACCCTCTCCCCATCCCAGGGCGTGGTTTGTGTCTCTTGATGGGAAGCCTGTGGCGCAAGTGAGACACTCCTTCATAGACCTGAAAAAAGGCAAGAGAACCCAGAGCAATGACACAAGTCTAGACTCTGGGGTGGATATGAATGAACATCATTCAAGCAGAAAGCTGGAGAGGGAGAAGACATTCATCAAAAGCATGCATCAGCCCAAGATGCTTTACCTGGAAGACTTAGACCTGAGCAGCAGTGAGAGTGGAACCACGGTCTGCTCCCCCGAGGATCCTGCATTGAGGCACATCTTGGATGGAGGGAGTGGAGTTATTCTAGAGCACCCTAGGGAAGAGTCCCCAGGAAGGAAAAGCAATGTGGAAGATTTTGAAGCTAACACATCTCCCACTAAAAAGAGAGGCCGACCACCACCCCTTGTCAAAAGAGACAGCAAGACTAACATCTGGAAGAAACGAGAGGAGCGTCCACTGATTCCCATAAACTAGTTGTGAGCGCCGTCTCTCTCTCTGTCGTTTCATGGTGTGCATTCTTGCTTCTTGTAAATTCCAGTATGAACTTAGGAGACTGAGACTGAACCATCTCGTGGGCCTTAGACACGTTTCAAACAAAGCAGATGGTAAAATAACAGCTCAAAAATCAGAAATACTTTCTCTATCCTGTTCTTTTCATTCTCTTTGGAGTGATGAAGATATCCAAGTCTTCAAAATATGAAACAATGTAAAGATATTATCTGAAAGTGTTGCGCAGTTTGCCCACTGGTGCGGACTCTTAATACAAAGTGAGCTGTGTGCAGAATCTGCCCTCCACACTCTTGTTTCTGCCTTGATCGTCATGGAACAGAAAGGCAGGTGTCTTCTTCAGGCCTCATCCTCCTGAAGAGACTGTGATGTCTTTTCCTGCCTATGCTTAAAAACAACTTGATAAATGTTTGGACAAATGTTAAAGATCAAACAATACTTTTTTTTCTTTTTCTTTTTCAAGATCAATGGCTTGTGGATTGTCAGCACCAAAGTAAATCCTGTGCTCTTGTAACATGGGCAGGAAGCCCCCAGTTCATTAGAGGAGACCCAGCTCTGGTTGTTTGGGGATATAGGTTTATAGAGCAAATAAGGCATTGACTTATTATGTAGAATAATAATATCTGAGAAATGGAAATGCTGATATTGTCTTTTTAATTTCAAATGAAGTGACCTTAGTTGCCAGGTGAGAGGAAAAAAGCTACAGCTTGCTTTAAGGCTCACTAATCCATGTAGGCTAAAATCTGTTTTTAATACTCTTTGGCCATAACCCCAATTGAAAGTCATTCATTTGAAGACTATTACACTTGATTAAAAATGCGAACATTTCTTGTGACTGCTAAAAAAAATGACCAGACTGTGGTGATACAGGAAATGAATGCTCCATGTAACTGACAGGGAAGGAATGGCCATTTTCCGGGTATTCAAAACATCTCCAGGGTGTGAGTTCCATTTGTTCGTATGGGCGCTTTTAGGAGAGGTTTGAGGAAAGCATTCTGGGTCTCAAGGGGGAGCCTTCCTTGTCACCTGTGCCCACACAGGCTTCTTTGTCAGCTTCAGGCATTTATGACTGTCCTTCCCTCGGTGGGAACTCAGGAGCTGTTTTCAGTTGTGTGTCCTCAACTCTGCTATAAGCAGAAACTCTTTGATCCAATCAGCACATCCAATTCTACCTAGAAACTGTCGCAAGGACACCTTGTGCAGCAGCTCTCTCTTTCCTTTCGGTGGAATGAAATGGTTCTTCTTCTCACCCCCTACCAATTCAATGTATGAGCCGCAGAGGAGATCCAAGCCACCTAAACAAGTTTAAGGAAACTGAAATAGACACCCCAACTTTGTAAAATTGTAGATAGTTATACGATGAAAGTCAACAGCCCCCAACCCCCGGAGACAGTAGACTTACTTCAGGCAGTTTTTCCTGTAATCCCCTCTGAAATATCTTACCTGCTGGAACTCACTCGGCTTTCTGAATTTAGCCCAAAGAATGCAAAGACTGCCCCTATGTTTCTTGTATATTGCTCCTTTCCATATGTGTCTGGCTAACACGAGGCTTGCTCTTGGGGGTAGAGTGGCAAGGCTCACATTTAGGGGGGGCTTTTTCTTGGTCTCACACAGAACTAGATCATGAACAGCACGGAATGACTTGGAGAAGGTTAAGGAGTTAGTGCTCCGTGGAAGTGCCTTTGACTCGGACTCGCGTTAGGAGGATTAATGACATCTTTCTCAGTGTACATTTTGTTAGCCAAATCAAACAGATGTGCAGTTATTAAAAACTATATAGCCCTGGTGTTTCACGTTGGAACAATGAGTTTTGCATGTAATGTTTTCTTTTGCGTGCTGGTTTTTGAATCCACAATATATTGGCAAATTATTTATGTTGGAATGAGGTTAGGAACTATAGGTTAGGAGGTATTGTACCTCCTTAACACTTTGAGTGTATCTCCTCATCTTTAGAAAGTTTTATGTCTCCACTGGGTGAAGAATGTCACATATAGACATATGAGTATATCGCCCAAGTATGCCAGTGACTTCATTCATTCTTGTCTAAGGGAAATGAGATGATGTTTCCTAAGGGCTTTTGTAGAACTTTAATTTCACAAAGTCACTTAAAAAGATACTGCGTGTGCTGTTTTTGATTGGGAATTTTAGGCAATTTATCTTTTCTAATCAGAAGAATGTGACTTCTCATCTGTGAGCAGTTCACAGTTTCCTGTTAAAAAGCTGAAGCCATCCACTTTTTCTTAACCCAAGTGATAAGCCAACACTATTCACTACTTTCTTAAATTTTTAAATTGAAAGCCAATGCAGACTTTTGCATACATAAACAGAGAATTTTGATTACAAATTGTTGACATTTGTGGACCCTTTGTACATAGTTTGGATATATCTTGAAGGCAAAGCTATCAATTAACCGATGGATTCATTTACTAAAGCACTGCTGTATGCAATTTTGAATACATACGACCTTGAGACTTTCTAAGATCCGTTTTTATGACTTTCTGCAGTTGAGTAGAGATCCTACCCTTTTATAGTTCACAGTATGCCGCTAAGATCACAAATGGCGAGGAATAGCAGCTCTGCTTTACTTTGGCAATTACTGTCAGGCCAGTTTCTACGTGTTTGGATTCTCTGCTTTCGATATATATTATAGGATTTTAGAGATTTGGGGCTCAAATATTGTCCTTCCAAACTCCCAAGAAAGTTGAAGTTCAAAACTACATATTAATTTCTATTGCTTGAGTTACTCATTGGTGTGTGCTGACATTACAGAGAGACCCAATTTGCTTTCCACTTCAGATCTAGAGTTGACGTCCTGCCCTCTTGTTCTCAGGTGTTTCTATTTTTTTCTTCTTTGTATTCTTTTATCCGCAAAATCTCATGTTTTTGGTGTATTTATTGATGTTGCTGTATTTCTTGAACAGTCTGAAGATTTGTAAAATGTTCCAAACAGTTCTTTAAGGATAATAAAATCAACCTAAATATATACTTGTTGCAGTCTTTAATTTCAAGTAATAGGCAAAAGCTTCCTTTCTCATTATTATTATTTAATACAGTAAATAATCATTACTTTTTTATTCATTACATCCCACGTTAAATTAATCCCATGTATATAATGAACTTGATAACTATTTGTATGTCTCTGGAGTTCCCAATTATACTATTGAATCTGAGTATAGACAACTAGTTTTCCATTGACTGGAATATGTTAATCTCATAGGTATTTTTAAAGTTATAATTTATTTTAAATTCTAAGTGAAAAAATAATATAAAGCCCCCATAGTTCTTTTCAAAATACTCTTTAGGCTTTTGAGATAAGACTAAGTGACAACTCAAAGGGTTTTCCCACTCATCTGTCCAAAGTCCTTGCTTAGCCAGTTGAACAATATCTCCATTCAGGCAGGTAGTAGTTGGGGGCTTTAGAATAGTTTGGAGAATTATCCTGGCTGTCATGTTTTTAGACCTCCCCAATATCATCATGTGATCAGACATACTTTTAGACAGATCTCCTGGGTGTTGGACTCTGAACTCATCTGGCATACAGAACTGTAGACACACTGACTCCACTGGCACTATCTGGAACCTTCTACCACGAGTCCTGCAAGCCCCAGCAGGGTTGTGGTTGCCTCTGTACCAGGGTACGGGTGCCTGAAGGCTACTGGCTTCTAGGAAATGATGTGGCAATGTCATGACAGGAAGTGTAGCTGCCAAAGCAATGAGATTCTTGAGCTGATCAAGAACTCTGATCACAGAAATAAAAATAACCTCGGGGGGGGGGGGATGATGGGAAAGTTAAAGAGTGGCAGAAAAAGAAGTTGGGTAGGACAGGGACCGTTTAACATTATGGCAAGTGATTCTCCTCATATACTTAACAGTTGGAACAGATAACCAGGGCTCTGCTCCTTCAACCACAAGTTGGAAAACATGAAACTAGACCTCAGTGTTGCCTTATCTTGGCTCCATAATTAGCATATTTCCTCTGTATCTTTAATAAGAGATTCCTTTGTCAGGATGAATGACAATGTAGCTTGCTTCCAAGAGTATGCTCTCACACCAAGGGAAGGGTAGACGAAACTGCTTTGTTATATGAGATTTGGATTTGCCTCTCCAGCAAACATGAAGATTCTTTCCTTGATATTTTTATCTTTACTGAATTCAGAGTTTTTTTATGTTTCCGTTTTTATTTGATGATTCCAAATGTAAAAAGTCTTACACCAATCCAATGTAAGAGATTCTTACACCAGTTAGAACAAGACCATTTCTAATGGAACTCAGTTCTTAAAGAAATCTTTATAACTTAATGAGAAAAAAGCGTCAGGAACTCAGTAACAATTTACAGTGTTAAATGTAAACTATTTTGTTAAAATCATATACCATTAATATAAACTCATTAATATACTTGCACAGCAAATTTATGGAGGGAATAACTTTCCTTTATGAAATAGCTATGCCCAAAGATCACATTTTTACTCCCTGTGACACTTGACAAAATATCACAATGACACATCTCTGCACTTTGCTAGCTATAACTAATGAACACCTTGGCATTTCTGTCCCCAGGATGAAGTATATGCTGTCGGGCCTTTCTTAGTTAAAGCCTGCATTTTCTAGTCTTTATGGCTAAACTAGATGTATTGCTAAATAATATTCTGTAATTTTGTAGAGATAGCCTAATTTTCTGACGAGTTGGCTCTTTTTGTTCAGGTTGGCAGTGATTTTCATAACTTATGTGTTCACCGTTTCTAATCCTTGTAGACCTTATTAAAATACTAGACTAGTTACAGACAGTGATTCAAAACAAACCAGGTAATTATAGCCCCATAGGTCCCTAAGCTTGTTAGACTTCATTCTAAAAACAAAAAAACTTTCAAAACCACAACACTGAAGAGGACAATTGTGGCTACTCAGAAAGCGGAAATAGTGTCTCAATGCTTTTTATTTCATATTTCCGTCTTTTAGCTCACAAAATATATCTCTGTTATATACAAAAAGTACTTGTTAAAAAGTTATACTCACACTTATGTCCACTAATTAGCAGTTTGTATTAAGTGTATTTTGAAACCTTAATTTCTAACTCAGATAATCTCTGAAATATTATTAATTATCCATTAAATAGAAAAGAATTAATTGTAAACGTGCACTTCTACAATTTTTCTTGTTGCTCATTTTTTCCGTTTAGTATTTATTTCAAACTTTAAAATGCTTTTATTCTATGAATAATTTATTAAATATTTTATTCTTTAAATGTTTTATATACTTATACAATGTATTTTGAACTCTTTAATAAATAATATTTATTTGAATAATGACTGTTAAGGTCAATGGTGAGCAGATGAGGTTTGCAGCTCAAGGTTTTCTGTTTTCCAGGGAGCACATACAGTTAGAATAGCAAAGGAAGAGCAGGAAGAACAATTACTTGCCTGGTCAGACATTTTTGCTTTGCATGTTGATAAAAGTGGCAAATTAATTTTTAATAGGATTCTAAAAATCCACAGTTTTATACTAAAGCTTACTAATACACATACTTATTTTCTAAACCCTCGTTTCTCAAAAAGTATTTCTGCCTGTGGCCCATTTTTTTCCTTTACAATCAAAGAACAAGTTCTAAATTGTTTACAACAAAACTGTACTTGTCCCTCTTCTTATTGAGACATACCTATCTCATCCTGCTTTCTTTTAGAAGTCAAGATGAAATTTCATACTATTAAAATTAATTAGAGTCAAGCAATTTCAATGTAAATCAGATAATTTCTAAAATCCATCTGTCCAGGACATACTTCCCAATACATTTCTAATGGAAGGAAAACCGGCATGATAATTACATATGTCCCACTGGACGGGATGGTCTAGGTTTTTATATTACTGATAACTGATAATTTGCTTATGTACATCTGCTAAGATTGCAAATCCCTGTGGACGAGAACTGTGCTTTTATACCCTTAATTTCCCATAATACCTTTGTGATATACTTAATAAATATTGATTAATGGATACATGATAATGGATTTGTTCAACGGAAACATCCAAAGTGTTTGGAGAAGTAGGGAGAGTGGTGTCAGCAAAATAGTAGAAAAAGAGCCGCTGTAGCCTGGAGAAACGGTCTCGGGGGTAACAGAGCTTGCTGCACAGCTGAGGATCTGAGTTTGAATCTCAACACTAATGAAAAAAGCTAGAGGCATGTTCCTGCAACCCCTGTGCTGTAGTGGGGCACAGAAATGGGAGGCGCTCACTGATTGCCAGCCTACGCCTAGGTTTAGTGAGAAATCCTATTTCAAATGAGTAAGACAGAAAATCATAAAACAGGACACCCAATGTACCCCTTTGACTTCTGTGTGTGTGTACCCACTTACATACTTTTGTGCTATGCCACACACACATACATATGCCAGACATATATCTGTGCTATGCCACACACACACACACACACACACACACACACACGTGTGCACGGGCATAAGACACACATGTGCATATCACACCCACACTCAGTCGCCTTGCTTGCATTTATAATAGCAACAATTTAGTACCTCTCCACAAACCAGAGTCTTTATATCAGACTCTGGGATTTGGTATGAGGCTGTAAAACACTGACCGCTAAGGATCCAAACTTTAGAGGTAATTTATATTGTTAATATTTAAAAATTAAATTGTTTTCAGACAATTTCATACATGTATGCAATATATACTGTCTAACCCCACACCATCCTCTCCGCAAATCTCTCACATTCATATCTTTAGGATTTGTTTTGTGATCCCCTGGAGCTATCCGTTGGTGCCTGGTGGACTCAGCAGTGGGTATAAAGGTAAAGACAGTGGTACTTCTGCCAGAATCTACCAATATCTCATACTTAAGAGATAAATAATAGGATCCCATGATGTAGAAGGCCGCAACCACACTCTCCACCATAGATGGCGCTGCACCGCCAGGTGAGCTAGAAAGCTCACACATGTTGGTAACTTTCCACTACTCCCAAGGTATCACCTGGGACTGGGAGCAGTTGACCAATCCAAGAGTGACACGTCCAAAGCAGGACTGTTTCATATATAAGGGATGGCTTCCTTCATATCTGGGTCTCCGCCATATGGCTTATGCTCTAGCTCCCAAGAGGATTAAAGCCATTTCTGCAAAAGAATCCTGTGTCCCGCGTGGTTCTTTCAGGCGAGGCCGAGCGCAGGGCACCATGTCACTGCCCGGCTTTGTCTTAATCTTGGGCCTAGCCAATGAGGGGGGACCATGCAATGTCAACAGATTGAACCGCAGCCTAGGTGCTGGGAGGAGGATATATAAAGATTTCCCATTGGTGAATAAAGGAGTCTGTTCTTTTTTTTATTACCTGGCTCCCGACATCTATGTCGCTGACACCGCACCTTCTCACCCTTTCCACCGAGAGAACCATTAGTACCCAGCAACAGCTGATGATTAAAATTAACCCTCACAAATAAAATCAGACCCTTCCTTCTGCTGGTGTTACTGCTAAGCACAGAGCTTGCCCACCAAATTCTTTTTAAAGACTTGGTTTTGGAAACGGGGAATGGGCGAGGTCTGAGGAAGCAGCTGGGACTTCAGGGTTTGTGAGCTGGGTCTCTTTCAGCATGCTGGCAATGAAGAGCCTGTCTCTAATAAATGGACCATGGGCATCTCTGGACATTAGGTAGGCAACCCGGTATTAAAACTCTCACTGATGAGTCATTGAAAGCAGGCTGCTGATTGGGCCTGGTATTCATTCATTGGTGGAAGTTACACAGGAACGCTATGGCACTGAGAATGGACGCCCTTTGTTATGCTTACAGCTACCCTGAAAAGCAATAATGAAATGCTGTGGGTGACTGAACACCAAATGTGAAAGCAGAGGACTTTCCTGATGACTCCATAAAGACTCCTGTATGTCAGGAAGGCAGAATGAGCAGAGGGCCCAGCCTCAGTGGTGTGATCGGTTCGTATGTTCAACCGGGTACAGGCAGACTATGCCAGGCTCACAGGATGGTTAGGAAAAGTGTAGGACCCAGGCAAGTGAACAGAGACCATCTTAATGATCTCCCTTTAAGTTCTGGAGCCCTGACCCTCTCTGAAAATGCAGAAGCAGACACTCTCCTTGTTTGAATGCAATGTTTTCTCCACAAGGCTTCATGTGCTCCCTCAGGAATGTCCTTTACCCTTAATAATACCCAAAGGGTAACTAGAGATAACTCATAATTAACCCAGTCGGGGATGTGCTTGCTGGTCCCCACATGGCCTAATATCTTTAAGAAGAAATAATCCTACTATTGTGGGTTGGTTTGTGTTGGAAGAGAATATATGGGTCGGAATTAAGAGATTATTTATATTAGATTGATTTCTGTTGCTATGATAAACATCATTACTAAAAGTAACTTGGAGAGGAAAAGGTTTATGTGACCTACACTTTCCTGTTATACAAGTTGTAAAGTGGGTTGGTTGTATTTGCAATATATCATGATACGGACTTGACACAGCCAGTGCTGGCCATTAGCAGTATTGGCAGATAACTGCTTGAGCGAAGAGCACCAAGTCTCATGGCATCCTCCAGTTTTGGACCACTGACCTTCCCTTAGCTTACAGCTAAGTTGACTGTAAGGAACAGAAACCCCGTGCCTGGTTTCTGAATATGTCAGCTGAGCAGGAAGGTTAATATGAGAGTGGATGGCATCTAGTTACTAGGTGTGGCCTTAGCGGTGGTAACAGAAAGGGATATTTCTTCCAGAGGGTGGAGATAGGGGAGGACCTTCACTAATACATCATCCACAAGCCTTCATTACACACTACCCTCTCTATTCTTCTGGGACCTGGCCATCCTGGTAAGAAAGTTACTGCCTATGAGGCTGCACCATGCTTAATGGAGGCCTTTTTCCCTTGTCATAAGCGAGAAGAAACTCTGTCTGAAGTTTATCTAACAAACAACAAAATTTGCTAACTTCTCCTCTTTGAATTGTCAAAATTCATAACCTACACTGTGATTAATGCTTGCATTTGTCATGGAATTAGATAAGGTGTAATGTGTAGGTAGTGTACTATTGCAACGGTAAAACCCAAAATCATAATGGAAACCTTCACAAACAAGTTTGACTAGCATAAGATTGGTACCATTTTATTTTTCTCACAAAGCTAATTTACAGAGTCGTTTCTCTTGGCTAGCGTCTGAATGTTGTTTTGTTCTTTCATAACTCTTACACGGTTTTGCTTTTGAAAACATCCTTAGGGATGATTTTGAAATATTTTTTTTTGAAAATCAATACTATTTGGCTATCTGAAAATTTACTTTGGCATTTCCTTATGTTTCAAGCAATTAGTTTGATTAAGTTCTGGGTTTACTCACAAGTATATCTTACCATTCATTTGAAAATCGGAAACAAGCCAAGTTTTCACTCAGTTTTAAAATGCAGCTCATGTTCAAATCCATTGTCGCGACATTTTTTCAATGACTTCCTCTTTTTGACTAGTCTTGAGTTAATTAATACTTGTTAAGAATCAAGGCCTGCTACACTCTTCTCCCGCCTCTTCCATTAGGGTTTCCTAATCTGTGAGGGAGAGACCTCATGGAGACCTTCAGTTTAGACTCTCTGCATCTGCAGCTGCTCCTGCCTGCTGCTGGAGGAAGCCTCTAATGGCTGGACAAGGCACCAACATGTGAGCATAGCAGAATATCATTAGGAATCATTCACTGATTTTTTTTTCCAGTTGCGTTTGGTTCTATTCTAGGTCTCTGGGGGTATCCAGCCCTTGGTTCCTTGCCATCCAGGCAGTGTAGGGCACGGGCTCCCTCGTTTGGCATGGACCTCAAGTTAAACCAGCTGTTGTTTGGCCATCTCACAGGTTTTGTACTAATACTGCTCCAGCACATCTTGCAGGCAGGAGCGTCTTTGACTCGTCTGCCTGGTATTAGAACTTCTCTCCTCTTATTGGGTTGCCTTGCCCAGCCTCGAAATGAGGACTTTTGCTTTGTCTTATTTTGTCGTGTTCGGTTGTCTTCTCTTTGCGTCCTGCCTTTTTCTGAAGAGGAAAGGAAGGGGTCTGATCTGAAGGAGGGGGGAGCTGTGAACAGGGAGCTGGGAGGAGTGGAGGGAGGGGAAACTGTGCTTAGGATGGATTGTATGAAAGAAGAATCTATTTTCAATGTAAAAAAATTAAATGCCATTTTCTTTTTCTGAGTGCAAAATAAATTATTTTAATTCAAAATTTTTAATGGAAGCATAGTTGTTCGTTTAAAATATTAAATAATTGCCATTTTCAAAGAACATCCACCCTTTTAGAACTGCTTCACAAAACTGTGTGTTCTGTTATCATCACGACAAAAATGTGGGAGGTAACCTCCTATAGTACAGGTAATAAAAATCAATGGTATCACGATGTTTTAAAAGCACTATTTGAGGGTTGTTAAGATTGATCAGTGAGTTAAAGCACTTGCTGGGAGCTGATGACTTAAGTTAGATCCTTGGGACCCCCACCGGGAGGGAGGAACTAACATCCACACGTTCTCCTCTGACCTCTGTACGCGTAGCATTGCATGTGTGTTCACACATGATGCACATAGAATAAGAGTCTTGTTTGAGAGGCTGGGGAGATGCTCATTCAACAGAGCGCTGGCCACATAACCATGAGAACCCACGTCTGACCCTCAGCACCTATGCAAATAAAGCTACCTGCGGTGTTTGGGTGTTTGTAATCCCCACTGCATGAGTACAGAATCCGTGAGCTCCAATCCCAGTGAGAGACCCTGACTAAAAAGATAATATCCTATAATAAAAGAGTAGTAAAAGATAAGATGATAAAAGAGTCAGTGTCTACTGAGTTGGCCTCTGCTGTCCCGATGTCACCCTCCCTCAAATTGTAGAGTTTCTGTCAAATATTCGAAACCCCACCAAGTCATGCAATATAAAAATAAACGAAGCATCTAAAAGCTGTATTTTCAGAAGCAATGATTATTTTAAAATATCTCCTGTTTAGAAAAGAAATTATAAAATATATATTTCCTAAAAGTAAAATGGCAAAAACCACTATAACTGTGTCATAGTTTATTTCATTATGTTTCATTCATGTGTAATAAAACTCCTTTAAGGAAAGAATAAAAAAATCACTTCTAGGATTTTTTGTATAGGTTTGAGGTGATTGCTTGTGAAAGAAAAATGAGAAATCTATGTAGTTCCCCAGAAGTAACCATGCATGCAATGTTATCCTCTGGCCTTTTTTGAGCAGTGACTCAAAGCAGGGGAAAAATCTGTTTCTTTGGTGAAAAAGTTGATCAGTATAGAATAAGGTATGAAACTCTATTACTCATTCACAGTTCATAACATCATGAGTATTTTCATTGAAACACGTATTGCTTAGTCTTCCATGTAGCAGGGTGACCTCTGGAAGCACAGTAAGGGGTTCAGAGACAAGCAGGCAAAAATGGCAATAGAGTATTTTATATACATCTGTCAAGAGTGTACATGAATTCTTATGTTCTACAAGTAAGATATTTTGTGTATTAAATATTCAAAAGTTTCTGTTGTAATAAACATGCATTTTTCATAATTGAATTCCTTCCATTATTAAAGACAGAGCAGCACTTTGCAAAGGGGGCTGAGCAGGACATCTGGGTGGACGACTCCATCTTTGTCTGAGTTTCCCCGTGGAATTGTTGTGTCTTTTAGACAAGCTCAGTTTTGCTGTGCCCCAGTTGACAGGAAGATTTAAGTCTTCTGGAGGTAAGGCACTTGATCTTACTTTAGGACTGAGAGATTTCTTTGAAATGTTCACATGTTCACAGCTTTTCGTTGTCTTTGGACTCTGACCAGGGTGGTATTTCTCACAGATTTCTTGGCTTTTCCGTCCAGTGAGACAAATAATATTCTTATGAGCAAGGGAGGGAAGAAATGTTTGTGATGGTATTTGCCCAAACGACCCAGTGGCTGGATCTTGCGGATATGTGGGGAAATGTTGACTAACTTTATATCCATAGACTAATTTTCTTGACTCTGAGTTACCCAATTTGACTGAGCAGAGGTCATCTATTGTTATATTCTGATAGTTGTCTGATGGATTTTGAAGTGTAATTAATGTTTTAGAATTACACTGAGGAACACTAGGTAAGATTCCAGTTCTATTTTGTTGTAACACTAACCCAGTACCAGGAATAAAGAGTTTTGGCTCTTGCTGTTGTGGCAAGCTGACAATGTCTTTGTTTGATGCCAACTGATGTGTTTGTCCATCCATGGCGGTGCCTTTCCAGATCAGAGGGTTGTAGATGACTTGTCTGTCAATAGGGCATGCGTTGCACTTGTGAAATAACCAATTGTCAATACATTTCCTGTGAAACTTGAGACAAAAAGGTTGCAGGTTAATCAGAGCTACAGCAACACTACTTATATGAAAATTTCCTGTCTGGTTGTATATTGAGACTATTGAGCAGAGAGGAAGGGAATTCTACATATCAAGTTTTATGAAAATATCTTGAAGAAGTTCATTTGTAAATACAGTACCTACACTGACTGATTTTCATTTTCCGCAGTAAATGCTGAGCCCTTTGAATAGATCACCTTCATAACTTGGTTAGAAACTCGTTGTTCAAGGTATTGTTTTCATGCTAATCACTTCTAATGATAGAAAACATTTAAAAATTAAAAGGTTATAACAAACTAGAATTGAAAATAAGTCTAAAAATCATGAGATGTAAAATAATCGACATTTTGGGTTATTAAAAAGACACTATCGGTTTAAATGTGACTTTAAAACTCAACATGTTTATTTAAAGAAATGTTATTTCAGAAAAAAATATGATTATTAAGAAAAAATATAATTATTAAGTATGGTTGAGGAGTGACATTGGACTTTGATTCTAAAGAGTCTTTATGAATAATTTTCAATTAAGGCATTTTTATTTCATCTAGAGAACTGTAAAAACACATGGCACAACTCTAGGATTCTGTAGGTTTCTTTATGTTACATGTAATAAAAGTACGTAAAAGAATGAAGTTAAAATGCCATGTATCCTAACTAGACAGTGTGTGAGGAAGCAAGTCCTCTCCGGTGTGAACTTGTCGCGAGGGGCAAGCGATGTTCTCTGTGGCATCTTGTCCGCACGTGCTATTTGAGTCAGCCAGTGTCACAGAGCACAGCCGAGAAACAAAAGGGGAAACGTCTCCTGCCACCTCATTCATGGGAAACGGCCCTTGAGGAAAAGTCAAATAGAAGGACATGGCTTTTACCTTGTGAGAACACGGCAGAAGTCTTGTATATTGGCCAAGACAAAATGACTTCAAGCAAAGTCGACACTGGTACCCTGGAGCAAGCAGCTTACTGTTCTTTGTAATCATCAGGAGAGGCAGCGCTTTTACGACATGTTTTGGTGTGCAAAACTGACTAAATAAAGGTAAACAGAGAGACCTGAGCGCCCACGTGTGATTATAGATGAGAATGTGAGTGAAAGCAGAGTTTTTCCACACGCGTAATACAATGGAACCCCAGGTTCTCTTGAGTCACAGATAATAAGTCTGTCCTACAGAGTTTGGTAGAGCCAACTTCATAAGGAACACATTTTAATTTAGTCACATCAAACAGAAATACTAATGAGATGCTTGTTTATACATTAAAGTCAATAAAAGGACAAAAATCTGAGGGTCGTTTGCTGAAATTACTTCACTTTGAGCAAATAGTTACACATGTGTTTAGAAAACACAAACTGATTTGCGTGCATGCTGGTGAAGTACGCCAACAGTCAGCCCAAATACTCAAGGGTATTGATGTCAATTGGTAGATGGCGTGTGATAAAATACATGCTAACCCCAATATTTTTAGAGTAACAGCGCAACTTAAAAGTACATAAAGGTAGGTATTCAGTGCCAGTAGCAAGTGGTAAAACGGACAAAATGGTGTTTAAAAACAAAAGCTCAGGTCAAGGAGCTGTGTTGGATGACATTCATATAGTCGACAGAAAAGTTAATGCTTTCCATTCTTCAGATATATGACCATGGTGGTAGAAAACCATTCCTGTTTCAAAGATTAGAGAATGATGTTTGTATGCCCAAAGTCGGCTGACAGCATGTGCTCAGCCAGGACGAGACTCAAGCAGGCTGACTCGAGACCCTTGTTCTTCCAAGGATGTGAAGTGTTACTTGGAATACATATGTAATTACTAAACAAATAAGAAACCAAGGAACATATATAACCAATTCAAATGAAAAACTATTCCAAAGTCCTGTACCACAGGCAGGTGTGATGTTGGCTGATTCTCACCCTTGCGTCTCTTGAAGGTATGCTGTATTCGTTTCTCCATCATTTTTAATATCTAAATATTTTACAACATCTGACCTTTTATCTGCTGATCTCCATCTTTGGTTTCTCTTCTGAAACAGGTGTGGAAAAAGGTCATAAAATGTTTTCTCATTAAGTAATAAAGGTTGCATATAGATAATACAATATTGTAAAATGCTCATTTTAAGAATATCCATTTTATCACAAAATTATAGATTACTAGTAGACCTCATGTCCTACCACGAGGTTGCTAGAATGACCTTCTTCTTTTCAACACTAAGAGGTTGAAAACAGAACACTAAACCACACACTCTACTTTGAATTCAGTAATTTATTTTTAATTTAAAAGAGTTACTTATTTTATGTGTATGACTGCTTTGCCTACATGTATATCTATTTACCACATATGTACCTGGTGCCTACAGAGGACAGAGGAGGACATTGGGTCCCTTATAACTGGAATTCTGGGAGTTTTCTGAGTCACCATGTGGGTCCTCCAGAAGAGGTAAGATTTCCTAAATTGTCCAGATTGTTTCCATGTTTGCAATCGTCAGCCTTCTGAGTAGCTGGAATTATAGGCGTGTACCGCCACGCTCAAAGTCACTACCTCTCTTCCTCCCATCTTCCTCATTTTGTTTAGTGTTCTCTCTGTCTCCACCATCTCTCTTTCTCCCCTAACTCTCTCTCTGTGGGGTGCGTGTGCATGTGATGTCACTTGTATTGAAGACAGATGTGAAATTACAGGAAGAGATCCTCTCTGTCCACCATGTAGGTCCCAGGGATTAAACTTGGATCACTAGGCTTGACAGCAAATACCTTTACCTCTGAGATATCATGCTTAGCTTGTCCAGTTCTTCTTAATGTAAAAAATAGTATTTATAATAATAGGTATTTTATTTTCATGACAAGAAAAAAGTAGCATTATTCAGCATCATGATATACATGTATATATGTAATATTACACACACATATATACATATACATATATATATGTATGTATATATATATACATATATATTATGCTAGGTTTCACTAAGTAGCTCAGACTAGCCTCACACATGTGACTGCCCTGCCTTAGCCTCCTGAGGGCTGAGATGACAGGTTTCAGGAGATACTTTTAAAATGTGCAGTTCAAAGGATGCCAAAAGTTCTATGGATTATTACTATGGTCATGATTTTTTGTTTGTTTGCTTGTTTTTTGTTTTTTTCAAGACAGAGTTTTCTGTAGTTTTGGAGCTTGTTCTGGAACTTGCTCTTGTAGACCAGGCTGGCCTTGACCTCACAGAGATCCTTTTGCCTCTGCCTCCCAAGTGCCGGGATTAAAGGCGCGCACCACCACCGCCCAGCAAGAAATTTTTAATAGAAAACCATGACAGTTGTCAGAAATGTTATGATAAGACTGCCCACAAGCTAGAGGCTCTATCACTCATTTTCAGGCTGAGGGTTACAGTGCCTTTTCTCAAGATTTCTTTGTGATACACGGTGCTTGTTATTGTGACAGATTCTATAAAGCATCAGTATGAAAATGGTTGCTTTGTGCACACTCATAGGAGAATTCTGAAAGTAATTTATTGTTGTTGTTGTTGTTGTTGTTGTTTTGAAGCAGGGTTTCTCTGTGTTGCTTTGGAGCCTGTCCTGGAACTAGCTCTTGTAGACCAGGCTGGCCTCGAACTCACAGAGATCCACCTGCCTCTGCCTCCCAAGTGCTGGGATTAAAGACATGCGCAACGATTACCTGGCTCTAAAACTAATTCTTAAATTAAAAATCAATTAGTTCATTCCAAAGTGTCATCTGCTTTTCGTGCTCTTGGATTTACTTATCTATACAGCGTGAGGAATGCCACGTTCAGTTAAAGGAGGGCCCCTTACCTCACGGAATGCAAAGGTGTGGGCAAGATGGCAGCAGCTGTCGAAGCATTCCTGGCACAAGTGGTACTCCACACACTCGGTGCACCTGAAACACAACACGTGAAAACACAGGAGAGAAAAGTCCAGTCACTGCCACGGTGCTGACTCCTCTTCCTGTGCATGCCCCACACATGGCAAAGCCCACTCTGGTCACATTGTGAATTAGTTTCCTATTGCTTCTGTAGAATTTCCTATAAATTTGTTAGCTTAAATAACAGACATTAGTTATCAGAGAGTTCTGTAGAATGGAAGCTTGATGGGTCTCAAAAGGATAAAAATCAGGTGTTGGCCTGGCTGTGCCACTTTTCGAGGCTTTAAAGGAACATCTGTTTCCTTGGCTGTACTGCGTCCTAGCTTGTGGTCCTTCCTCCATCGTTCCTGATTAACATCACTATCTGCCTTTCTTCCATAACCATATTTCCAAGTCGCTTCCCCTGGTCTCCTCAACTTTCAAGATCCCTTGTGCTTATACTGGGTTTATCCATATTGGAGTCATCTTAGTTAAAGGTCCATTAATAATAATAAAAAAAACCCTTAACCCTCTTGCAACCTCACTCCCTTCAACATGTAAGCAGACATTCAGGTTCTGCGGTAAACCTGTGGATGCACTTGGAGACATTCAGGTTCTGCAGTAAACCTTTGGGTACACTTGGAGACATTCAGGTCCGTGATAAACCTGTGGGTACCCTTGGAGACTACTACTGTTTTGTCTCCTCCATGTCCTTTCCCCGCTGCTTTCCTAGACCAGAGTTTAGGCCCCAGTGATTTCTTCACAGACTAGAAATGCGACCGCAGCCCACAGACGTGTGGCTTGTCACCTGTCTATGCAACCTGCTTTCCAGCTGTTTCCTGAAGGGTAGGGTTACACTTGGCAGTGCTCTTGGATCACAGACTTGTACTCTTTTTCCTCCCCACAGAACGATAAATGTATGAGGTCTCAACAAAAACTACTAATATAATTTGAAAATGTAACTTTTTACAGAAGCCCATTTTCAATCTTATGCTATTAATGTTTTTTATTAGGAATTTTATCACATAGACTCTTAGTTTATTTGCCACAAAATACACAAAAAAGATTGTGAGCATGAGCCAAACAGGTTCACTTTTAAATTCAAATATTCTAACGTTTAGGAGGTTATTTCCTCGTGAAATAAAAAAAAAATATACGCTCAGACATTGCAGAAGATGCAGTGTTAATTTATTTCTTATTACTATTCATATGCGTAGATCCTTAGTAATGAACATCACAAACCAGCAATGCTGTAAATCTCTTGATTCATCAGAGTAGACTAGGATAAAAACCTAAGTAACTCTGCAGTTTAACACACATGTGATGTTTCACGAACTAACCTAAAAGGGGAACCAGTGGAACCAGCCGCATATTGATACCCTAACGAAGAGGAAGCTGCTGCTTATATAGAGCAGAACTAGCTTTGGGGGCTGAGTGGAATGTTTGATGCTGGAAGACAAGAGGGGAAGATGGAGCCACAAACGTCACCGATGCGGCTTTTGTTTGTGATGGAAGAATGAGAAACTGGGAGTTGTTAGACAAATCCATAGGCAAGCCATGAGAAGATGCTGCTTCTTGGCCAAACCGTAGGAAAACGCAAAGCCAAGGCTCTGGCGGAAGTGAGGGAACGAAAATGAAATCCCAAACAAGCTGTGGTCGCTATAGCAGAAGAGGGCAACTTAGTGCGCCCTTTGGCTCAGAGTTACAGAGCAGCCCGAGACTTACTTGTAGCACCTCCCCTCGATCGGCAGCTGTTTACAGTTGTTGCAGGGAATTCCGAGGTGTTTGTCTAGTCGTTCTTTCTCAGAGGTCGTCATAAGTTTGTTAGAGTTTTTGAATTCCTCCAAGATGACTTTTAACGGTGCAAACCCTTCCCTGCACAGCGGGCATTTTAACATGGAGCTGTTCGACCCCGTATCTTGATAACTGGCTAAGATCTTCATGCATTTTATGTGAGCATTATTGCCGCAGCCAAATCTATCAGAAATAAAATTCAAGTTTATTGCTCATTGTATGTATTTGTTAAACATGTTTATTTCAATTAAAAATCTCCCTGAGACCATCTTTATTCCTTATACAAATGCACTTTGAACTGATTTCTAGGTATAGCTGGATTACAAATAGACAAAAATATAATTTCCCATCTTTATCAAAAATCCAAATATACCTTTTTCCCCATTTAAAGGAAATGGTAAAAGATTTCCATCATAAAATTATGTTTTATTCATAAGGTCAGAACGAGTATAGCTTTAACACAAAGGAAAGTTAACAGGACAATTCCTTAAATACAGGGTGGAGTCCTACCCTCCCTTTCTCTCTTTTGCTTTTTTGAGAAGTCATGCAGCATCTTAAATACTTGAGCAATCTCTGCTGGGAGAAGATATATTGGGGAAGTAGTTAGCAGGTTTTCCATACTCGATGGAAGCAACCACACAGAAATGTGCAAAATAGGAGTCAACTATTGGTCAAGTGTAGAAAAGAAAACTGAATGAAACGAATTCCAGCAGCAAATGGTTGTTTCGATTTTTAAAATCTAACTTATGAGAGCCTTGGAAAATAGTACGAAGGAGATTCTCCCGGCGAGGACTTCTACTAAGTAAAAATTGAACAATTTAAGTTACAAGATAGAATTTCTTAAAAATTGAAAAGAGCATTTATGACTTCAAAGTAAAATCATCTTTATATCCAGAAAATATTGTTGCAGTCATATCATTTCCTCCCTCTGTAAAAAAAACACAAGAGCTGGTGAGAGGGCCAAGTAACGGCACTTAGTGCTCAGCAATCCGAGTTTACATCACTGGAACATGCAGGGTGGTAGAGAAAATAGACCTCCACAAGTTGGCCTCTGACCTACATACATGCCAAGGCAGGTATGTCCCACCTTCCCAAATCAGTCAATAATCAATCAATAAATAAACCTTGAAGGTCTTAGAAAACAAACAGAAAAGCCTTCCTATTCTTCATTACTTAGAGCAGAGGGCTGAATAGCTGTGGAGTGATACTTCTAATTTTCACCCTTACAACGTGCCCTAGACATATTTAAACAGGACATCTCATAAGCCACATATGAGGGAACAAAAGAACACAGAGAAAATAGGAATTAGACAGAGAGGAAGCTCTTATTTTGTCTCTCAAGGAGTCTCATAAAGGAAGCTCATAAGAATATTAGACCACAGGGCCGGAGAGATGGCTCAGCGGTTAAGAACTCTGGTTGTTGCTCTTCCTAAGGTCCTGAGTTCAATTCCCAGGGCCCACATGGTGGCTCACAACCATCTGTATTGAGATCTGGTGCCCTCTTCTGGCCTGCAGGCATACATGCAAACAGAACACTGTGTACATAATAAAAAAATAAAAATCTTTTTTAAAAAGAACATTAGACTAGAATTGTCGTAAGACTTTCGGATCCAGTGTTAAATCTGTCACCTGCAGAAGGTGACTGGGAGTCTCTTCTCCAGCAGCACCTCTTGACAAATAGGGCAGATGTCCTCGGCACTGATGTCCTTCTGTTTGAGGCAGCCTTCTTCTTCCACGTGGGTGCTCTCATCCCTTGCTCCATGCTTGGGAGTTTGAACCTGGTGGATCCCCCGTAGCAAGTCATTTATTTCTCCTTCTGTAAGACCCAGCTGGAAGGCAGCTAGCAAGAAATACCAAAGCCTTAGAGTTCGATGGCAAGAAAGGAAATGTGAAGACGTAATAGCAGGGTGCATTATGTTCTTTCAAATACCAGGATAGTACTGGTTGGATTATACAGTGACCACTTCTTCACCTTCTATTTATAAAGAAAAAGAATCGTTAGAAAAGAGTAATTTATAAAAACAATTCGATTGCCCCCTCCTACGCTTGCTACTAAAAATACTGCAGGACGTGTTATCACAGGCTTGCGACGTGATAATGTTAACCCCGCTTTTGGCATCAGGGTGACATTTTGGTCTTTTCATATGCCTGTAAACAAATCCCTCATCAGCATGCAACAGTATTAAAATAAGAGCCGGAGAAATGACTCGTTGATTAAGAAGACGTAGTGCACTTGCAGAGGGCAGAGGTTCCATCCCCAGAACCCTTGCCATTGCTGCCCCAGGGATTCCAATACCCTCCTCTGGCTTAGTAAACACCCCACATGGGGCAGACACACAGACACACAAGCACATGCACATTTAAATAAATTAAAACAAACAGTAATAAGAATGCATAAAGGAGAAAAGGAGCATGCCAATAGGTAGGCAAGGCTGTGTTTGTTAAAGCAGTGGATAATAGAGGGGTGGAGCAGTTGTGCCTGTTTTCCTGTCTTAGTTCTGTAGCCCTAGAGGAGTGCTTTGCTCACAGGTTCATGTCAGACCCGGACAGTGTTCTGCAGGACAGCCTCCTAGACACAGTACTGCCTGCACCCAGGGGAGCCCTGAATTTTTCCCAGCCTGCTGTTCTTACAATCAACTGTTTGTATATAGTTTTGATCTTAGAACCCGAGATTCCTTCTCTCCATCCGTGGCTCCTTCTCCTGCTGGCCCTTTTTCTCTAACAAAGCACAATTTAATTTCTAGTTGTTACTCCCCCAAGTTCCGTTTATTTGGTATATTTTACATACATATAAGCTAAATATTGTATGCAGGAGTGTGAAAGCTCTGTTTTCCTGGAAAGACCCCTTTCTAATTAAATACCACAAAGGAATAGCAAAAAATGGTGCTTTTGTTTCAGTAAAGAAACCTTTGTTTCTGATCTGAGGTGATGGAGCAGGTGCTGGAGGACTGTGGGAGGAAATCAAACTTTAATTACCCAGTGCTTGGAGGAGGATTATTTGACATAGAGAAACAGCAACATCTGCTCTCTTTAAAACGGATTTCATGAAAGAAGCTGCCCGGGAACTCTTCTGTGTGGGGGAGCATAAATTAGAAAACAGCAGAAGCACTTGAGAGTGTATGGAAGAGGTAATGTATGAGACCAACAAGAGTGTTCTCCAAGAACTAGGCAGCTAGCCTGTCCAACAGCCTCAACCCACCACACCAATAAAATACGACTAATTCATTGTTCCTATGGTCTCGTGAACACGAGGCGAACAGAAGAACGTTTGCATATTTATTGCGTTTTATTTAGTGTGAGCTCCTCCCTTATTTTAACTCATTTCTTTTCCGATTCTAGTGAAATTTGCCAGGATACCCCCGTGGCCGTTTGCTAACTGGGCTTCTTTACGTACAAATCATCTTTGACTGCTTATTGGACTGAAACGGAAAATTCTTTCAAAACATTTCAGAGATTACACTTCGCAATGTGTTCCTTATGTTGTCTCTGTGACTTTTTTCCCCTAAAACACATGGCCTCTTTGTACTATTACGCCTCTTTTGTCTTTTTATGTGCGCTGTTTTAATCCTTTCAGAATCATATTTTCTTTGCAATGGTAACAGTCTTTCAGGTTTCTTTTGCTGGCTCTTCTGTTGTTTTCGTTATCACGGCATCCACGTGTGGCGGTGTTGGTGCAGGTCGGAGGACATGTTTGGTTGGAATTAATTGTCTCTGCATCACCACAGCTGCTTCAGTAAACAACTGAGAAAAAAATTCTTTCATCTTTCTTTCAAGTGAATTAAACCAAAAATAAGGCAGAAACATCAAACTAAACCTATTTAAAATAAAAATGAATGGAAGCACACATTTTGTATATTTAGAAAGTTATTTGGAGCACTTTGGGTTTCTGCACAGGAACGTCTGACATGTGGGAAGGGAGACAATTCTGCTTAACTTAAATTTTGTATATTTAAAAAGTTATTTGGAGCGTTTTGGATTTCTGCACAGGAACGTCTGACATGTGGGAAGGGATGATAGTAGACATGAATAAATGACTTTGAATTTGCAGCTGCTATTCTTTTCATTTTGTATGATTTAGTCTGTGCTGTCCTAAAATTACAGTAATATTAACACGTCAAAATGTTTCTACATATCTTTATTTGTAGTAGAGACTTAAATATATAATTAGTATCTTTAAGCTCCATTAAACATGAACCCAATAACACAGAAAAATATTGATATACTTCTGAACTCATTGTAACTTGGTAGAAGGTACTTAAAAGAGCACTTTGCGTGAGAAGCAAATAAAAATTTTTTAACATGACTAGTAAAAATTAATGATGTTAGGCTAAAAAACTGAAACAAGGAAATTTCATTTGAAAGAATATGAAAAGTAGAAATGAAACAAACATTGAATAATAGGAGGGTAATTCTGATATAGCATTTTCAGTGGAACACTAGTCATTGGGTGAACTTATGACAAATACATAGAATTGAAGATGGAAAGTAATAAAAACTGTGTGGTAAAAACAGAATACATAATTCTAAATAAGCAGGTTTCTGTATATATATGTGTTTATGTTTATATATACATATATAAAATTGTAAAAACAACATAAAAATAAAATTCTGCATAAAATTATGGTGGTAATTTGAAAGTTACTTTTAAATGTAGTTTTATTTATCTATAAGTAATTTAATAAAAGGATAGATAACTTCATATATCATTGCAATCATTAGAAACCACGAGATGATATATTTAAGTTTGATTAGAAACATATTTTTGTGAGAAACAGGTTCAATGTTCAAAATATTTATTTTATTAGGAAGTATAAAATTTTAAAATTAATATATAATCTAAATAATTTTATACTTTATGTATTGATAGATAACAATGACTTCTTCTTTTTAGAAGCAAAAAGGCAAACATGAATTATTAGAATTATCCAGTTCATGGGAATAAATTCATAATATGTGTCTAACACATATACTGTAAACAGAGGTTTCTCTGTTCTGCCCTATCCCACAGTTACTTCTGGACAATCACTCAAAGGATTATATTAACTATTAATGTTTGACCAATAGTTCAGGCTTATTACTAGTTTACTCTTACATTTAAATTAACCCAGTTCTATCTATGTTTTGCAACATGGCTCAAAGCTTGTTACCTTATTTCCTTTTATTTTCTTTTTTAAAACAATCTTTTTTTTCTTTTACATATCAATCCCAGTTCCCCTCCCTCCCGTACTCCCGATCTTCCCACCTTCTCCCACCTCATCTCACATCCACTCCTCAGAGAGGGTAAGGCCTCACAAACGGAGTCAACCAAGTCTATCACATCACATTGAGGCAGGACCAAGGCGCCCCCCACCCCCGGTATCTAGGCTGAGTAAGGTATCCCACCATAGGGTATGGGCTCCAAAAAGTCAGTTCATGCACTAGGGATAAATCCTTGTCCCCCTGCCAGTGGCCCCACAAACCACCCAAGCTACGCAACTGTCACCCACATTCAGAGGGCCTAGTTCTTGTTATCTCATTTTCTATATGTCCTGTTTGTTAAGAAGTTGGCTGGCATCTATCTCAGTTCTGCCCTCCTCATCTGAGTTCTCAGTTTGATTGTTCTGTCTAACCTCATCCTGCCTGGCTATTGGTCAAACAGCTTTTATTATTAATCAATAAGAAGAATACATATTCACAGCGTATAGAAAGATTATCTCAAAGCATTTCCTCCTTTCTATCTAATCAAAAATGAAGATTTTAACTTTAGCATAGTAATATTACATACAATAAGCAGTTATCATAAAGAACTACAGTTACAATATCTAGTCTTATTTGTAGTTGAAAAATAGAGAAAATATTTAACTATTTTATCTTGGTGAGTTAAAGTTTTACATCTAATTTAACTTTTACCATAAATAAGAAAAGCTATAGTTATAATTATCCAGTCTTCAACTTCATCAAAGACCTAAGAAGGAAAGTAATATTACCTGAGTAAGTAGGAAGTGCAGGCAAGTGACTTCCAAACAGTATAAGGAATGACAGAAACAGGTTGCTGCCTGGTCAGTCACTCAAGGTCTCTCTCTAACATTGGACATCCAACTTTGGCTTATATGTCTAGAATATCTAAAAGACCCTTTTCAGAAGCAGGAAAATTTGAAGAACTATCCTACCCTGTCTTGGAAAAGTTTGGCAGTTATTTTATATCCTGCTTGTCCAGATTGAACAACTTGTTCAGATTGAAGAACAGTTGAGGCAAGGGCAGTTTCTTGCCCAACTAGATAATTCTTCCAAAAGGAAAACAAACTCCATATGGAGTGTCTTAGGTGCCCAGTCATCAGTGTGGGAGTAGACCAGTGCTGCCAGGAGCAGATGTGTCTCACATCAAAAGAATTCTAAGTTATTAAAACATTTTAAATGTAATATTCTGTAGGTCTTTGAAGTCTTTGAAGATACATATCTATTTGAAATATATCATGTCTTTTTTTATGTACTTTCATTATTAATGTATGCATGCACCTTCAGGGGAGTGTGAACCACTTTGTACACATGGCATTCAGAGGATATTTCAGGAGATGTGTCCTTCCTTCCACCATGTGGGGCAGGGATTACACTCAGGTCTGCCGGCTTGCACTACGAATAATTCTACCCAATGAGTCATCTCTGCATTTCTCATCCTTGTTTTTATTTAAGAATCTGAGTTTGAATGTGATATATAAAATTTGATTTTTGTTTAGGAAGAAACTGTTTCAACTTCTTGAAGTGTAAAAACTTTGGGGAGAGGTAGTTAACAGATTCTTTAGGAAAATAAGCATTTGAGTTTAGAATATGTTTAAATAAAAAGTTCCTATTTTTGTTAATTTTAAATTAGTAAAGGATTAGAAAATAAAAGCCAGAAACTTACATTCGTGATTCCTTGGAAGCTTGAATTTTTTCAGCAACACCCTAATATTCATGAGTAGAAAGAAATTAAAACATTTATTTTATATAATCTCAAGACATATTGTTTAAACATATAGACTGCAAAAAGAATTATTTGATTTGCAAATGCAAAAATGTTGTGAATAAACTTAAACTTAATTTTATGTCAGTCATAGTTGTGTTTTAAAGTGAGTTAATATTCAAACTGACAAGTGAATTATGTCTGTGCTAAAATGTTTGGTCAGAGTGATGCACTTATCTCTCAAGACACAGTCCTTCAAACTGTAGTGACGAAGTCCAGGTAGTCACAATGCTTTCTCTAACTTCCCTGAGAGCACCAAGGGATTGGTTTTTGTATGTTTACAATTTTAGTGTATAGTAGAAAACTTTCAACTCTAACTAAAACTGTGACCTTTGAAGAAGGGGAAAACATACACTTTTAAAAAATACAGCAATTGTGCTTCATTAATTACATTAATATTTTATACACTATATACTTGGATAATATTTGCATTTAGTTTATGGTTAGAATATTACATGAAACGATATATATATATATATTATAGTATATTAAAATCAGAAAAGAATGACCATACCCTGCCTTATCATAAAATAATATTGGAGACACCTATTGTAAGTGTTAGAGTGACACACTGTACATTTGAAAGTACAATATCTTTATCTTTCAGATACAACCAATAACCTGTGTTAGTAGAAGTTCGATGGATCTGTCCCAAACCTGGTAAGAAAAGTCATTAGAAAGCAAGACACACAGTGGCTGACAGATAATAAATGACGAGAATGTATCTACTGGGACTGCTGAGATGGCTCCACGATTAGGGCACTTGTTCTCTGAGAAGACCTGGGTTCAATTCTCCCCATCCACATGAAGGTTCACAACCATCTGTAACTTTAGTTTCAAGGGATCCAACACCCTCTTCAGACCTCTGTGGGCACCAGGCATACATATGGTGCATATACATACATCTAGCCAGGCCAGTCACACACACACACACACACACACACACACACACACACACACACTAAAATTTAAAACTTAAAAAAAATTTTTTAAATGGTGTCTTTATTGATTTGTTGACGTGAATTTTAGGAAGACAAAGCAGACTTAAGCAGGCTCTCCTAATTGATAAGATTGTCTTCCGCATGTGGAAGATAATTACCCAACACATAGGTTTTCCTCACACTGTAGAAGCTTCAGGTTTGAGAGGTAACCCTCAATTAGAGTCCTCATTTTTATCCCAAAATGTTTATATTAAAGGTGAAAGTTGTCTGAAACCTGACATCCTGAAAACAACACTATTTTCATGATAATGTATTTTAGGAGACAGGAAGTTGTTGAAGGAAGTAACATCTCAAGAGTAACCATGGATTTGATCACTGGATTTCACACTGGAGCACATAACATATATCAATACTTTCCTACTTTATATATTATTAAATGATTCTCTATTGACTTACCCACTTTTCAGATTAAAATGGAATTCTTGGAATACTAAGAAACACATTGATAAATTATGGCTATTTTAACTGTTAATCTTCCAATATCAAACTTCTTTATTCTTGCTGCATTCAAACCATGGAAAATGATAAAATGTGTTTCCTTGTGAAAGACTGTTGCTAACTGTCACTCACCAGCAAATATGCTTACACAGTTCCCCCCTCTTCAGAGATGTGGGGCAGTTACATTCATGAGGGTTTCCTAGCAAAACCTTTAAAAGAAAAGTAAGACAGAAAAATTTTAAAAACAAGTTAATTTTTTAGAGTTATGGCAAAACTAAGCTGATAAAAGTAATTAAATTAAAAACATTTAAAGAACTAATTTGGTTTAGTGATTCTGAACTGAATCTGTGATTGGCTAGGACCTTTTGAGAAATATTCTTTCTTCACAATCTAGGCTGGTTTCCCACTTCCGTATTCTTTACCTTTGCAAGCAACTGGCACTATGGATTAACACATTTCTTTAAAAAAAAGATCTTCTGTACTTAGGTGAAATTAAATATAAAATTAAAAGCATTTACCCCAAACTATTGTTTTTTTAAGGGACAGAGTTAAAGGCATTTGCCTTTTGGAAGAAGGTTTGTTCACGCTGAGTTTTTTTGGGGGGGGTTATCTGAACTTTTCTTTCATGAGAGAGGATTAATTTTCTTCAAGACTATACAGTCTTTAACTGCTCGTTAAACACAATAAATTATGTAATCGGCAAAGTAAAAGAGCATGCTTTGAACAAAGTACAGAGTGACCAACTGTATCCAGTACTCAGCTACGAGGCAGTAAGTTTATATTTCTAAAGCACCTGACAAGTGCTCAGTGGGTCATCCTGACAGACAAGAGGACATGGAAATAGGATCTCTTCTCTTTCAGCAAAATGAAATGGAATTATTTTTAACTCACACATTTTTCAAAGTATCATTTAAACTATCCTCTAATGAACTGCTACAGCTTTAAAAACAAGTAAAAAGAAAACGATTTCAGCTAGAGACTATTCTAGAGAGCCTGATTTTAATGGGTTTTCCTTTGACTTACAGGGCTGGTGACCGCTAAGAAGGCGTCCAGGAATACACATCCCACAAACCAAATATTCGTATCACCCTCTCCTTTATTTGTTTTTAATACTAAAGTTCAAAGTCCATCTTACAGGAGTTGGACACATTTCGACTATCAGTTAACTATCAAGAAAGAATCTTTTCTGGTAGATACTGTTTCCTTTTGTAACGTTCATAAAGTCAGGGGAGCCCTTGTGGGGCTGAGTCCTCACTGAGGTCCATGTCTGTGTAGGGTTATGAAGCGGGCTTCCCTCCTCCCCACCCCCAAGACCCAGGGAAGATGGGGGTACGGTCGTTACTCGGAAATTCCCCTTTTCTGGCTCCTCCTCCCTCAGTAGAAAGCCGGTGGGGCCGATCTGTCGCAGGAGATAGATACTGCTACTCAGCGCCTGGTCTTGCTGCCAGCTGAGGCTACCATTCAAGTGTCTTCGCCTTTCGGAGGCTTTACAGCCTCCGCGAAGCATCCTGGGTGGTCCAGGCGCCTCTGAGCTAGGCTTTCTGGGGCGCCTCGGGTCTCTATGGCAACAGCGTGCAGCGCAGTTGCCGTGGTGACGGTAGCTCTGTTCTAGGCGCCCCAGAGGGCCTCGCTATAGTTAGGCCTGGAGAGATTCCAGAAGTCCCCTCGCAGACTTTCAAAGCCCGGGTGGTGACAGGCACATGTGCAAACCCCTTAGTCTTTTTTGCTGATTGGCTCACACGCAGAACTGGTGAGAGTCGTAAGTTAGGGCAGTCGCAGACCAGTTACAGTATTCGCTCTGGATTTCTCATCCATAATACAAAAAACCAAAAATTAACAACAGTAACAACAAAAAACTCAGCATGACGGCTGGTGTTCGGAATTCCGTCAACGTCTTCCAGGGGCTCCCAACAGGATACACTGAGTAAGTGGCTGAGGGAAGATGGAGAAAGTAGGGTAGCTTCAGGCAGTTCAGCTGGGTGTGGTGGTGGTGGTGGTGGTGTGTGTGTGTGTGTGTGTGTGTGTGTGTGTGTGGTGTGCTGTGTCTACTTAAAGCTAGGAGGAATTTCAGCCGCACACTGGGGTTGAATATTTGATATTCAAAATTACAAAGCTCTATTTTTAAGGAGTTAGATTTTATTTTCTAGCTATAAAAGGTTTACAAATTATTTGAAAATCCAAAAATTATTTCTAAACTTTATTTCTATCTTTTTAATTGCGAACTATCCTAAAGTATTAGTCAACAGTTTGAATCATGGTTACTGAACGGGAAGACACATTGCTGGATTCTCTGGAAGACATTGATAGCAGGAGAGATCTCTGCGTGGTGGCTGGGTTACAGGAATAAGAAAGGCATCGATCCTATATTCCCCGGGGAGGAAACCACCCCTAGATCATGTCGACAACCCGAAAAGAAAATGGCAAAATCCCACCCCAGTGTAAAGATGGTGGTTAGGGCAGCTTGACAAGAGGTAGTCAGAAAACACCTTCAGGGATTTTTTTTTAAGAGAACAAGACAAATTGTAAATTCATTTTATATAATAGTATTTATAATTTAAAAACTCAGAATTGATGGATGCCAATTCCTATTTTCTATGTAACAAAATGAATCAGGCTTCATCTTGAAGACATTTTATGGAGTCGTTCTTCACCGACCACCCTCCGTGTGCCTGGTTGTGTGTGTATGCACACAGGTATTTAAGAATTTAGAAGTCAAACATTAATAAATATTTAAGCTATTGCATTTTATTTAGAATGATATTTTCTTCCTATGTGATAAGTAGCATTTTCAAAATGTCACATACTTAAGCTATAAATTATATAAATTGACTATAGTTCCTTAATTCCATAGTAAAAGTAACACTATTCATGTTCTCATGGGAGTTAAAAAGGGAAAGTACAGATTGCTAAGCAGAACTGTAGTCTAGCTGGATGACATTTGTTTTTCTAGCTGACAGTTAAAACTTTAAAAACAGATTAGAGTCCCCTGATGTCCCATATGCTGTCTTCATCTTTTGAAATTTTGATGACAGAGTAATGGTTTTTACAAATGCTTCAACTTGGAGAATTAAAATTTATTCTTGAATTTACATTATTATCCTCCATGTTATATGCCAAGGCATATTTCCCCCAGGAAAATGGATAGAGCGTCACGAACTGATAAATTTGTTTAATAAGCGAGTTATTAATGCAACTGACAGTAGAAGGCAGGTGTTAGTTAATACTGCATCTCCAACCTGAGATGTGGAAAAGCTAGACTTGCAGTGTTAGTATAGAAGGAAGAAGAGTATTTAAGTCCGAGGGGGAAGTCGGATTCTAATCATAATATGGTTGTATTTAATTAGGCTGTGAGTGAGAACATTGGGATAGACTGGGGATGACTGAGCACTCCTGGGACTGGGGTGTGTGGGAAAATACTTCAGGAATGGAGCTAGGAAGTCTACAAGAAATCTTCAGGTTTTGCTTTGTCTAACAGCAGGAATATCCTGAGGTATTGAGAGAAGAACGACAAATGAATAGAATGCTTGACTTCTGTCCTGTCTGGTTTTGTATAAACTTGACGCAAGCTAGAGTCTTCTGAAAGCAGTGAACCTCAAACATGGAAAAAAATGCCTCCATAAGATTCAGATGAAGGGCATTTTCTTAATTAGTGATCGATGGAGCAGGGCCCAGCCCATGGTGGGTGGTGCCATCCCTGGGCTGGTGGTCCTGTGTTCCAGAAGAAAGCAAACTGAACTTACCATGGAGAGCAAGACAGTAAGCCGCATCCTTCCATGGCCTCTGCATCAGCTCCTGCCTCTAGGTTCCTGCCCTGTTTGAGTTCCTGTCCTTCAATGCTGAAGAGTGCTGTGGAAGTGTAAACCAAATAGCCCTTTCCTCCCCAGGCTTTGGTCATGATGTCTCACTACAGTAATAGTAATCCTGACTAGGCCTGCTTAGAATGATTAAAGGCATACAGAGAATATAAGAGTTTATGTTTTCTTCTTCATGCCCTTTCTACCTTCTTGGGGGAAAATGGAGAGAAGAGTATGTGATAGTCTGTCGTAACTGTCAGCTTGACACAACCTAGAATCACCAGAACGAGAGCGCCCGTAAGGAATTTTCTGGATAAGGTTGGCCTGTGGATAATGCCAGTGAGGGTTCTTTTCTTAATTGTGTTAATTGATGTGGGAAGATCCATTCTCAGTATTGGCAGTGAAGTTTCATGGGCCGGACCCTGAATTATATAAGAGTGGAAAAAGCCAAGCTGAGTGAGCAGGCAAGCGTTTATTTCCCTTTCCTTGATTGTCGATGTGGTGTGACTTTAAGTCCCTGCTATGATGGGCTCTAACCTGGAATTCTGGGCAAGGATAGGCTTTCTCTTTGTTGCTGTTGTCTGGGTAATTTAATCACAGCAACAGAATGAAACTAGAATGGAGTAAAAATAAATGCTAAACCTTTTCTCCTTATTGTCTAAGATGGTCTTAGCACTCCATTCAAATCAACTAAACCTGAGACCATTTCCCCCGCTCACTTCAAATCCCTGACTTGCCTTGCTGTACAACAGTACTTCACCAAATTTCCAAAGGAAAATTCTCACTTCTCTGAGATGCAAGCATTCTTATAGCCTTTTGATGGTATCAAAACCCAGTAAAATTCTCCTGAAGAATATGAGCACCACCCCTTTGTTAAAGAATTACCAAGAAAGAGAGGATTCCTAAACCCCACCCTCTGTGGCAATGTAATTCCAATTTAGTAAAATGTCAAGCAATAAATACAATGGCAGAGTCACAGTGACTAACTGCCCTATTCTCACACAGCGAACCTTTTCCACTAGCTCATCCGGATGCTCAAAAATTCCTCTTCTTATCTCAGTGAAATTGAGTTTCATCTCTTTCCTTATTGCAACAGCATTTCATGAAGTCTTATGTGCCTATTTAACCCCACCCAGCACAGTTCTCTTTGACAATAGATATTATTTAGCTAAGAATGTTGAACTGTTAATTCACACCAAATTACATTTAGCAAAGATTTTTCTTTTTGTTGCAATCAAGGAAAATGGAGGCTAGCAAAGGTGATTGAGTCATTTATAAAGAAAATCTATTCCCATGCTTCACAATCAAGATATAAGAGAAATAAAATTGAAACTCGCTTTACTATTAGGACTTTTAATTCAAGTTGCCAGACTGAGGGGCTGGAGATGTGGATCAGCACTTAAGAGCGCTGTCTCTTCTCGAGGACCAGGTTCCAACCCCAGCACCCATGGGAACAGAACCTGGGTTCCACTACCTATGTGGCAGTTCTTAACTGTTTATCACTCAAGGTACAGGGCATGGGATATCCTCTTCTGGTCTCCAGAACACCAGGCATGCATGTGGTGTACAAATGTACATGTAAGCAAAATACCCATACACATTAAATAATAAGTAAATATAAAATAACAAAAAGATTGATGACTAATACCAGTTTCTTTCCAATTGAAAAATATAAGATAATAAAAAATAAACTTCAACGTTAAATTATGAACACAGCAAGAGATGACTGAAATACACAGAAATCTAAGAGTAACCCTAATGACTGTTGCCCTCATATAATTTTTTCTCTTGTGATTATGTGCTTTCAGATAGCAAAGAAGGTATTGCAGATGCAGTGAGATGCACTAATCAGGTGACTGGGTTATTTGAAAGGGAGATGACTTGTGGTGGCCTACTAGAATGTTCTAAACAATTTAAAGTCAGAATCATCTCAGACCTGGAAGATTAGCTTTTGACTGACAGAGATCAAGGAAATGAGAGCCATTAAACCAACAACATTGAGAAAACTGGATTTACCCGCTATCAAACTAAATGGGGTGGAAAGCAGATTCTAACTCAGAACTTCCAAATGAAAGCGTAGCTTGGTTGGCAAATTGAATTCTGTTTTGCGTGACACATAAGGACCTAGTTGAGTCTGCCTGGACTTCTGACCTAGAGGTCTGTGAGCAGGTAATATTGTTTTAGACCACTAGGTTTCTCATAATTTATTTCACAAAAGTAGAAAACACCACCAACAAAATGAAATGGGCCATGCCAATTAGCCACACTGGGCTCGGTCCAAGCTGCCACGGAACTAGGAGAGCTGGCTCTGCCCCTTCATCTGAGATGGTAGTCTCAATGGCTCAGACCAACCCGTTCAGCTACCACCCAGACCCGCATTCTGAGCCTTGGGTTGGCTCACCCTAACAGTTGCCCCATCTCTGACCTGCTGGAGTGCAGGAAAGGACCGGTCCTGCAGAATGATAACTGCAGGATCTCTGTGATGGGGTGGGGGAGGATACCAATAGGGTATCTGAGAGGAGTTTCCATGAGGGTCCAGTGTGACCATGTACCAGTAACCAGAGGTCTTGAACCACACCAATGACTCATTGTGACTGACATTTTGCGGGTGGGGTCGATTGGACAGAGGGAGTGCCCTGCATGGCTCACCGCAGCTCCTGAGGCCACTAGGAACAATGAAGAGCTGTTGGAAAGATGCAAGAGCAAAGTGGGGTTTTTTTTTGTTCATTTTGTTTTGTTTTTAATTAATTTT